CAGAGAACAGGGTTTGGATAAAGGCCTTCTTTGTTAATAGAATAGTATCAAGGGCTTCTTTGTCCTTGGGGACAATAGCAAATCCAGAGTTAACTAACAGTACTTCCTATACAAGCTCTTTACAGCCAATTTTTGGGTCGCAGAGGGCAAGGTAAATAGCTAGCGTAGAGTGTTTCCTTTTAAGAGAGTCTAGAGGTAGTCGTATAAAGACCCTAAGGTCAGATTTCGCTAGGGGTCTCTTATTCTTCTGTAGCTTTGAAGTGACAGGAGGCGGGGGAGGAGGTAGTGTAGTAGTTGCTATAGTAGAGCCTGGGTTTTCAGGCGCTGGGGCATTCTTTGTGGTCTGTGCGTATGAAATTTTTCCCTCAGGAGCCAAAGAGGGGGTTGGAATTGTAAGGGGCGTAGGGCTGTTTCCACCCCTGTAGGAGTCACTGAGAGATAAAGGTAGTGGAGGTGGGGCCGCTGAGGTGTACGTTCGGTGGAAGGCTAGGCTGAAGTCGGCTACCTGGGTGCAAAAGGCCCTGAGGTAGGGCAAGAGGTCCGGAGGTGCCCCATCAAGAGCAGTACTTAGATAGTNTCGGTGGAAGGCTAGGCTGAGGTCGGCTACCTGGGTGCAAAAGGCCCTGAGGTAGGGCAAGAGGTCCGGAGGTGCCCCATCAAGAGCAGTACTTAGATAGTGGTCTACAGCTTCTGTCGTGCCCCCGAAGAAGATTGGCCTATGGCACCACGTTCTAGTGCTTTGGTAGTCCCAGAGATGAAGTATTGTTGTATGTTGGGCAGAGGGGGCATCGGGCGTACTCCCCCCTTTCTCAAGCCCCTTCCCAGGGGCGTAGGCGAGGCCGGAGGTCTCCTTGGAGGAGTCTCCATGGAAGGAATTTAGCTTATTAAACGAGAGTAAGAGAGATTGAGCGATTTAGAACAAAAAATTCAATCTACGAAAAAAGGTGTGTGTGGACCCTTTATTATAGTTACGTTATATATAACTACTCGAGTACTATTTGAATAGTCAAATCTACTAGTTAACTTAACTTAACGGAATTACCTAATTATATTTATTTGACTTAACTCGACCAGTATTCGAGATGAGATGAGTAGCTGTAGTTTTATATTCACGTTAGACACTTTTTAATTACCTTTCTTTAGCTCTATTGAACCTCCTAGAATACAGTAGTCTCTTCACTTCATTTGTTTTTTTTAGTAGTAGAGTATACAAATGATGGAAGCGGTTTACTTCTTTATCTTAGAAAAAGATTCAAACCGCATATCTCTAGTCAGTAAAGAATCCTCTCATCTGAGGAGTTTTGACACGTTTGCTTTTCCTGACATCCTCCTACAATACCATAGATCAACCTTACAGGAGCGCAAAAACGATCTCAAAAGTGTCTGCAGATTTCCTTCTGGTGCGCCATTCTATCGCTCATGCGGCTTGGGGCATTTTCCCTCTGTTTACCCTCTCAAAATTATGCTGCGGCGATGGAGTCACCAACAAGTGGTTAAGGATGGCCCTCAAGGTTAGCCGTTGGGCACCAGCTTCCTTTTTTGGAAACGGCACAATATACAGTAGATAGAAAGGCGGGAAATGTTCAATGGGATTGTAAGGCATAAATAAGCATTACATGCCCATGAATGGCACTAGTGCTAGTGCGAGGTGAATGAATTACAAACCTCTTCAACAAATACTTTGAACGCTATGTTGTGGCACACTTGTGCTCCGCCGAGTTGGAAAGTTGGAAATGAAACAGTGCGTTTCTGTGAAGGATCCTTGACGACCTCAGCAAATTTGCAACTCAGTAGGTCGGGTCGCCCAAAGAGCAATGGAGTTGAGCTGCAGCCTAGACTGGGTTATTGGTAAAGAGATTGCAGAGAGCTCAATGAGGTAGAATTGCAAAAGTGGCGGGCAACATAAGTCTGCAAGTCGCTCCCGTAATGGTCGCTCTTCACCAACACCAACTGATACTCCGCCTCTTCGTTGCCGAAGGAATCTACAGTCCCACATGAAATTCCGACAACAAATAAGTGTTTGGCGCATAAAATCTCTCAAGGGCTTTGTTGGGATTATATGTTGGTGTTTCATCCCTCATAATAGTCATTGGCCGCACTCTTGCATGTAGGGCTACCTGACGGCCATCAGTAAGTAGCCACCTACAGTACCAAGGAGGGTGAACTTAGCCGAGCCAATTGTAATCTCTCACCAGAGACATCACGTCACCCCCAAGTATCAATTTTAGGCCACAGGTTGATGAATATAACAAGCAACTAAAATCTGCGCCCTGAATCCCAAACTTACTTCCTCAGGTAAACTTTACGTTCCTTCGAGCCATAAAATCATGGATACAAACTTGGAACAGGTCGAAGGATTCACATCGAGGTAAGTCCCAACACAAGACGGCAGGGATTTATCGTCCTGCTTCATGAAGACGCACTCCATGAATCCACGGGTGCCGCAAGGGCATTTGTTCTTGCAAGTACTCCTTTTGGACCGAAAGGATTATCACAGTGGTATTATCGAGGTTGGAATAATGAACGCCGCAGGCCTTTGCTATCTGGAAAGCAATATCAAACGTTTGTAGCACGCCTTGTTGGATATGGAAATAGAATTATGGACTCCATTTACGGCGCAGAGAACTTCAACTCTCTATAAAGAGTAACATCTCTTGATCTAATCTTTCCTCAAACAGCTTTCAATTTTGTCGTTATTAGATTCTTTCACCAATTCTCGCCTCCTTTACTGACCTTGGGCTCCAAACATGCGGTCTCTACTGCCTTTCATGTTATCCGTTCTTTGTCTTGTCAGCTGCACAATAGCTGCTAACATACCGCGACTCAAAAGGGAACCTACCTCTGGCAAATCATTTTACACAATCTTTCCCAAGAACGGAACCAATACTTTCAAGACAAGAGAGTTTGTACAAAACATCGTTGGAACGGAGGACCTTCTACCGTGGACTGATCTCGAGGAACACCTTGTCTCTTGGACTGTTAAAGCTTCACCTAATGAAGTTGGCAAGTTGCAAGAATACGCTGATGTCGATAATGTGGTTGAATTCCATCCTCCTCAAGGAGTTTCCTAACGTCGCCGAGAAACACCACCAAACCCCGGAAGCAATACGCCATAATTATCAACTTAATCAAGATCACTCTCTGCCAAATCATCCATCGCATAGCACATGTACTGCCGGGAAAGCACTTGGTAAGACTTACGGCGTTGCGAAGAATGCCCAATTAGTCATTGTGCAAATGGCAAGGATCTCTCTTGGAGAAATCATAGCTGCCTTCGGTTTAATTGAAGATGAGCTGTTGATAGCTACTGAACGCCGTGGGAGAAGTGTCATCAATATGTCACTTGGGGGCCCGACCAATGGCAAAGACAATCGAGGAGAAGAACTCAGGGATTTGGTGGCCACCATGATCAATCTGGATGTTCCAGTAATTGTGGCTGCTGGCAATTATGCCCCAGGACTCCGTGTAGTTGATCATATCCCAGGGGTCTGGGCAGCTCCCGATTTCCCCATACTTGCGATCGGTTCGACCAACAAAAACGGCAAACTCACCAAATGGTCGCAAGGCGGCGAGCAGGTTTTTCTCCACGCCGTTGGCGAAGAGATCAGTTGCTTGGATATGACCGGTGGGATCAAGGTCTCTAGAGGAACATCCTATACCGCTCCGCAAGTAGCAGGTGAAGTGGCCAGTTTCCTGTCATACGACCCGGTTCCTTTCAACACTGATGAGCATCAAGTGGTCAAAACCCTCTGGGATTATTTACACTCCAACGCAGGGAGCTGGTAGCGAACGCCAGGCGTCAAAATGTTGTGGAACGGCGTCAATGAAGAAAATAATCCCAAGATTATCCAAGCAGCAATTCCAGCTCCTCCAGCACTACCCACGGTACTAGCACCACTACCAACAACATTACTACCATTGCCACCCACCATTGAGAAAAGATGTGCCGGCGTTGCGACGAACAAGTATTTAAGCCGCCCAAATCTCGCTTCCCTGGTCGGAAAGAATTCTGTCCTACAGCGGTAAAACAAGGTGCTTTGGACCCCGGTTCAGGCTCATGTCGATATAATTTAGGCACCATGGAAGAGGTGACCATTGCCATGGAATGAGCCCCAGGTCTCAAATTCCAGCCAAACACGAAAGACTGCTTGGAATACCTACTTAGCAATCTCGTTGATGGCTGTGATGGGAACGACCCGAAAAATGCAGAAGGTTCAAAAGCTGGCGGTACAATGACAGTCGGCGAAGTGAAATACCGGATTGATCCGCAGGTTTTGCGCCAGTCATGGGACTCGCATAGATGGGCGGGATGTGATTCAGATTTCAAAGCGCTCTTCAATGATAATGTTGTCTGGGGGCGTGGTTTTGCTACAGCGGATTTTGGGGAAAGCTTGAAGGAAGCGGCGAAGAAGAGATGTGCTCTTCTTCCAGATACATGGCATTTTTCTTATGGGCTTGGTAATGATGGTAGAGAATAGACTGCGAAGTTCCGAACGGGAATTTTCCAGAACAAATGTATGGGCCATTTGGTTTCAGATATTAGCGGTACTAGTGTTGATTGCCAGGGAAAGGCTTAGGGAAGGATGTTCTTAAGTCACTTTCATACGGAACTTTCATATTTTATACGCTTGGGTTATGTCATGTAGTCGATAAATTTGGGGAGATTATTTATCTCGTCTTATAGCTTACAATTTGGATGAAGCCTTTCGTTTAGATGCATGGGTCTTTCGAGTATCTATGTCGTGATACGTCGGTACTGTAATGATCCACTATTTAATCCATGCAAAGTGATAGCATCTTAATATGGTTTTCGACTGTTGGAATTTATCATGAAAGGATATCTTCATGTTTGTAGGCAGTAAATCGCTTGCCGGCAGTGCGCTTTGAGCTTTACCAAAGATTCCAAATTCGCCGCGGAATTTGAAGTTGACGCGGGGGCCCAGGAAAGGGATAGAAGTCGGAGACCTTCCCAAATCTTGAATACGCTCGATTTTACTATTTACCATGTAACCCTTTAACTTCAGGTGACGCCTTTGGGTAAGTATCGGGGGTTTCCAAAACCATTTCGAATGCCGTTAATGCAAGGTGGTATGGAGAGCGAAGAGCATAGACTGAAAGAATTTGTCTCTAATATATGCCGGGATTAATAGGCATCAAGTGACTTAATGCTGTGTCATAATGTTGCTCTCTGCATGACACTGAAACTTAAAGTTTCTTATCAAATTCTTTTGATATGATTGTTCTATGGGAGTATTGAACCCGTCTTCTCTCTTGCGTTCCCACCTCCTAAATGTTGATACAATACTACCCCATTTAACAAATACCCTTCCACGAAAAATAATAACTTCTTCAAACTAGGGGAAGCAAAAGGTTCTTCAAGACTTTTCAGCAACCGTGACTAATTAAATACTCATATATAGGTTTTTAGGTACCGATTAAGAGACCACGAATGAAAATAAAGTGTGTCAAGATACTTAGTACGTCATATTGTCGTCAAAACCGTTACAAATAATCCCATAAAGTTTGGTCGGCCATAAGCTCCAAAGAGTAGCCCCCGCGTACCTCTAGCAAGGGAAGGAACACTAAATTTCATAGTGTCTTTAATTATATATAATTCCACTTCTATGAATCCTAATTATATAGAACTAGATACTTAACATCTAGTCGCCTTCGAAATACTTGTCTGTTGAGATAGTTCAAAACACGCTTTCAGCTACTAAGAATACTCCATTTGAAAGAAGTGATATGAAGAGAGTTGATTAGACTTCATCACTATTAATAACTAAAGGGCAAGTATAAGGCATTAAGCTACCTTCAATTGTCATGAAGGCAATGCCTAATCATACAAAAAATGCCTTATTTTTATAGTTTTATTGAACATTGCTAAACCTCGTAAAAGCTCAGGATCCTGTTAGATCGCTTACTATTCTTAGCATTGAGCTTGGGCTACTGAGCTTCTGGCTGCAGTTGAGGTTATCTCATGAATTATTTTCTGTAGCAAAACATCATGCGCTAGCTATGGTTGCATGACAAACACCTGTATCACTTCACTGAACCTACAGTCGGGTATGACACTGCTTCATAGGTCCCCAAAAACCCTGTTTCCAAATTTACATTGACAGTACTAGCATGGCCTTGGGAAATTGCGAACTCTGATTCATAACTCGCGTAGCCATTGAGAGGCTCAGTAACAGACTGCTGAGCCGAATCAGGCGACAGTTGGGGGATTTACTCAGCCAGTTTCAAATCCAATCCAATGAACCTGACTTTGGGATGAAGAGAATTGGCGCAGTACCAACATAAGCGCCATCCGGCTATCACTGAGGCTGTTGCAAGCTCTAGCATGCTAAAGACCCCACGAGATCCACAATGATTTTGCACATGATGCGATTGCTTCAATTCCACTTGATAACAGCTCCCCGCAACGTATGTCCCGCAGCGAGCAACGATCACTGGAGTCACCATGCCTTAGCCTTAGCGTAACTCTGACAAGACTCGGTAAGATCTCGGTTAGGAATGGAGGGAGTTTTCGACGGAAGAAGCTTCATTATGGTCCAGTCAGCGACTAAATCGTGATGAGCACAGACAATCACAATCCATACACCCGTGAACATCAACTCGTAAAATACCGTTGGTTCCTCTCCGGTTGGCTGCCAGCTGTGCATGAAGATGGATTCGAAGTCTCGCGAGGGGATTGGGAGTGACGGTGAGATGACGGCCGCATTTTATCGACAGCGGGGAAATTGTGATGGTTATGTGCAACAGGGAATCTGATCTGGTCTGCCAATCCGGGATGTGTACTCAGTTGTGGATCATTTGGTGATCCTAGCAGGCGCTTACACCCAGCCAACCACAACAAAGTTTGGGTGAAAATTGCTGCACGAGGGGAACATCCGCCCCCGTTCTCAGCCACCGTTCTGCACCTCTCAACATCCCCAAATCCTCCTCGTCCCATCACATCGCTCACAGCGACCAGCTTCATTATTGCCGTCACTATTCTAGGTTACCCTTTCATGCACGTTCCTGACCCGGACAAATCCTCTCCACCCAACTGCCACCCACTGCAGCCCTTTTTCCGGCCCCCTCACTTGGCTTCTTCCAATTAAACGTTCCCAACGGTCACTACCGCCCAAGGCACCATGCAGGAAGTTTTGGTATATCATATCACCCACAGCCGCCCACCATGAGTTTGCCTCCGCAGCTATTTTGTATCACGATACGTTTCGTAGCCTGGCCAGGAGGTTCTGATGCATTCCTGGATATTCCTGACAGGCAGAAGCAATGCAAAAGGGCCATGATCCAGTTTCGATCAAAGCACTTCAAGTGTTCCTATTTACATCTTTGATCTGCTCATTTGTTACTTCTGCAATTTCCATTCCCATAAAGATTCAAATACGAGCTCTGGGGATCGATTTGAGTCCAGCACCATCACCGGAAAACGGACCTCCATTCTCCGCCGGCGCAACCAGAGATAGATCTCTCCTTCCAGCTCAAATTGGTGGAATTATTGGGGCATATCTCTTTTCCGTCTGTATTATCGGCCTCGCCTTGATATTTTGCGGTAGAAAGGCTCGCCGGGCATTGCAACAACCCGGCATTGTTTTGGATGTTGAAATGGTACAGCCCCATAAGCAACTTTCTATAGACCCATCTCCAATATCACCTACTAGAGGACCAGGTAGTCCAAGGAACTTCTCCTGGCCTTCACCAGAAAAAGACGAGCGAAATCCTTACGTCTTTCCACCTGTCAACAGATCTCCAATTACTCCTCCGGGAACCGATCCTTACGTCGACAGTCGAGTTGTTCAACAAGATAGAGATATGGCTGCAAGAAATTTGGAAGATATATATGCCCATGTGATGGAGCAGGAGGAGGCAAAAGCTGCGGGGTTGAGTCCGAAGGAAATGCCTCCGCCAGCACCTTTGCAAAGACCTGGTTCAATCCCTGCGCCAGCACCACAAAAAGGGTCTCGAAGGCCATCTGCAATTACGATCGATGGTAATAAGTCTACGAGATCACGGGCTTCTTCAATCTTGTCCGTATTGAAATCGCCAAGAAGAAAGCAAAATCGACCTTTGCAAATTTCCTCTCCACTACCAACACCAATGTCTGCTACTTTCCCTCGAGATGGTGGGTCAGATACCGAGCCATTATCTCCCAAATACTACAAACCTCCCCCACCAATTCCAACAGACCAGGTGCCATATACCGATTCTCGAAACACCTCCAATATCACGCCTACTTCACCAACTCGCAGTATTGCGGAACAAATGGCACCATACGGTCCAGGAGGGTCAGGAAACTCTCGCCATAGACAATATCCCTCTCAAGCATCTGCACATTCCTATGATCCAGGATCAGCCTCTACAACAACGTCACAAACTCCTTTAAACCCCCCTCCGACCAAAAAAGCAATTCCCCATCCCATCCCTACAGCTTCCAACCCCACAAACGCACATACCCGAGCACTTCCCTTCCGTCAATTCGAACCTGCACTACAATCTCCATCATTCAAACCCGCTACTAAGACAACAGTCTTGGAACGAAAAGGACCACAACATTCCGGTCCAATGACCGGGGGACTGAGAACTGCACCATGGAGTCCGGGTGCTGTACCCTATTCTCCTTTCTATCAACCCATGACCCCCATGATTCCAGTTACCCCGACATTGGTCACAAGACAGGATAGGAAGATGATGAAGAAGCAGCAGAAGAAGGCACCCGTTCAGGAGTTGGTTAGTGATGATATGTGGGATAGTGGGTATTGATTATTCTGAAGGTGTTTGTTTCTTGTTTATATGGTTTCTGTTTCTGTTTCTTCTGCTGGACATGTTAGGGAGATTCTTAGATGGAAATTTAGATATGGGAGGTAACAAGTCCGTAAGGATGAAGCCTGGAGTGGTTGGCTTTAGGGGGGGAGGAAAGGCAAGGGAATGGAGGGGGTTAACGATATCATGATTCTTCCCTTTTTTACTTTTCTATATGGAGTGCTCGGCTGAGTTTACCCTTACTATTTCAATGTTCAATATGCTATTTCCTGAAATCTTACCATTTATCATTTACGAGTTGCTTTTGAAACTCGTCCTCCACTTTACAATTCACATTCGACACTTCAATCTTATCTTTCATCTTCTGCCCTGACTTCATCATCGGCAACCTCTAAGGCCGTTCAAAGCTGTATACTCGAGTAGCCCCTTTTCCTCAAAGCCCCTGGGTTGTGGGAGCAAATTACCAAACCGGGTCTGGTTTCTCTAAGCGCTTCCCCTTAATTGGAATTCTTATCCATTTCTGGTTGGGATCTGGTCTAAGCATTAAATGTTTAGCGAGCGAGGGGGGAACTTCGACTTTGGTAATGAGATACACGATAGGGCAGTCGTGCTCTAGATAACCTCATAGTTGACTTGTTTAACTGAGGTTCTAGGAATGTAATCATGAGGACTTTCGCTTGAAGTTCTGTCGGTGATTCTGTTTTAATTGCATTATCGTTTGAAAAGTTCAAAATAAGTAAGACCTTTTGTATTTGGGGGGTTATAGCGAAGTTAGTCGAGTGAGAGACGTGGTCGTTACTCTGTATATACTTCCTTATAATAAATCTATCCTAATGAAAGCCTTATATAACAAAAGATAGTTTTATAAAAGGTTTGGAATAATGATCAACGTTCCCTGCATTTTCTAACCTAGGTATATTAAGATAACTATTTACTTGTACCAGTAGTTTAGTATAATAACCTTGTATAGTATCTATGGAGAATAATAACTAGGTATCTATTATAGCTAGAATGCTACCTAGACTCGTAACTATCACTACTTAACTTGATTGCTAATTTTGTACGCCGAAAAATCTTTCACGCGTAGTGGGTTCGACAATAGTTTTTAGTTAAATAGTAAATAACATAGATACTGTCGCAACATCCGCATATTGTTTACTCACGTGACTTAGCACTGGCATATAAGCGTCTGTAGTCTAGCTAGCTACCTTCTCTTCCTTAAGTCAAGTAATTAGACACCGAGTCAACGACCTGATTGCTTCACTACTTTTCGGCTACTCTTATGAGTACCAGGTGTACCGACAGATACAGATAGAGTCGAATATATGGAGATCGTAAGCTGCGCTCGTAAAAACAACAAGAACTTCCTCCTCGTCCCAACCGACACTACCAGAGGAACCCTGCGAACCATCCACATAGTCTTCCAATGTTGCCTCCCTCGCTAGTCTCTGTCAAGAAAGCTCTGGCAGACAATCATGTCATCCCATCAAGGTGTTTTGCAATAAACACAAGAATGCAGAAACGGTGACTGACGCTTATTTCCCAGTGGGTTGGGTCCGTGGATGCTACGAAGTCATTAAGTAAGGGGGAATTATGGCTTGGATTATGCTCCAACCTTTTACAACACTCATCCCAAAATCAAGTCAATCTCCTCGAGGGGTTGAGCCTCCCATGCACTTTTTATAACATGTCCCAGTGCCTTCCTATATGCAATTCCATCTTTCCGTTCTACCCAAAGAACATTGTAATACTCTTCTTTCAGAACTAAATTCGTCAAGCGCCAAACGGTCGATGAATCTTTCTTCTTTTTCGATAACATAGCCAGTCGAGATCGAAACGAACTCACAAGGTGACAATTCCTGGTCAATATCAAAAATATTGGAAGAGCCTTGTAGATGTATAGCCCCAATCCAATGGCCCTCGCTGTCTTGTATGGATGCAGTTCTGTGGGATGCCTGTTCAAGATTTGTAGGGTCATGACTTAGCGAGAAATGCTTTCTGGTTGTTCTGCCACAGATTAAAGTATCGTTATTGGGTTCCGGGGTAGAGAGCGAGATGCCTAGTTGTTCGTCGTCACAGGTAGGAAATGGACGCCAGAAATCAAGGGAGGGATCATATTTGTGTTTGTAGAAGTAACGAGGCGGTGATGAGCCGTGATCCTGCTCGATAACGGGCTCATAGGGATCTTTCCGCGATTTTAGACTATAATCAAACCGTTCCCATCCTGAGGACACGTCATCCCCTGTTGCTGATACCGCGTATGTTCTAAGTTCTTGTATTCGGCGCTGAGACTGATAAATCGGCCTCCTTTCTTCGGCTCCCCATTTCAAAGAATGCCACAGAATAGAAGAAAGTATTGTTGCAGGTGGATACCAGTTTTTGGCGTACTGATTAGTTCCGGTGCGCCAAGGTGATTCGTCCAAGCTACACCTCCAACCAATCCATGACCAACTCGGGAGGCCTGATTTCGTCGATTCTCGTGGCTTTTTGTCTTTTGCTGAGGGAATTCTCCGTTCGCACTTGCCATCCTTAGGTTGCCAGCATAGGGCGACATCGAAAAACAACAATGGCAATCCACAAATGAAAGCTCCAATAAATTTTCGACTCGGCTCAGTCGTAATACCAGCAAATGCATAAATTGCATCCTGTGGATGGGTGAGCTCTCTCATATTGTATGCGTTGACAATACGGCCATAGTTCGTGAGGCGAGGAAATGCCTGGAGAAAATCTGTTCTCAACTCCCTAGACGTAATGACATGGTTCTTTACAAGATTTTCGTCAACATCTTCCACGAGACAGCAGCATCCACATCGCCATTCAACGCTTTTACTTTTGAAAATAAGACATCGCTTGGAGAACAGGTCTTCTTGAAAAGTCCAAGCTCTTCTTCTCCATTTTGATTCTGAGGTAGCTACGGGCCCACTATCATTGTCACCATTAACCACCACGAAATGATACCCTTCCTTAGGTGTAAAAATTGCATCTGGTTGGGAACGGTCTCTAGGCTGAGATATCCCTTGTAAACCTTGGAGGCCATAATTCGCATCTTCTCCATCCTCGGCAAAAATTGTGACAGTAGCTCCGGAGTATATCATGGACATTTTGTTAATTTCAGTATGCTTGGTATGGTTATGGTCTTGAACAATGCAGAGGGCATCTACCCATAGATAGCGCTCGTCCAAGAGGCTGACTATTGATAATGCATCCGAAATAGTCCGTGGTATTCCAAGTTCTTTTGGATTGGCTAATGCGAAATCTTGTTGCAGTTGTGAAATATTCTCCCTGGTAGTTTTAAAGAATGGAACCTCTCCCCACACATAGCTTAGAGCTACATATGATATCCCAGTTGCTCCTGGGACCAAACACATTCGCTGTGTGTCGACAAGCCAAGTAGGGTGAAAGTTATTCTCCTGTGTCAGATCATTTACAACGTGACAGGTTTTGTAGTTTCGAGAATCGCATAGTCGTTTCCATTGGAGCAATAGCTTCACATCTATCCACTTGTTGTTTCTATATCTTGCTGTAGGCTTTCCTTGACATTCTGGCTCCGCGCTAGGAAGAAGTCTCAAAGTAACGAACCTTGTGCGCATTCTCTGCATTTCTAGAAAACGCTCATATGCCTCACTTCCATTACCTATACTAGTATCTACGCCAGGCGCTATGTCAAGCCAAAGAGACAAGTATTCAACGGTGTTGGATAATTTAAGACCAATAAAATTTGGTAGGTCCATAATGTTGTCATGATGCGGATAGGTTTCGATGACTTTCGCATGTTCATCGCATGTTGACGAGTCCATCATCTCCAAGCGAGTAAACTTGATGATATCAAAACTTTCTGATGTTCGGACAAACTCCATGAACTTGATACAGAAGCCACACTCCATCTGCAAAACAATCAGATCAGGAAAAATAGATTCTAGAATTAATACAATGAAGCGCATACCTTCGCATCCCCAGCTTCTGCATCAGACATGCTGAGCTCAAATTGACAAGCGTTTTCCGATAAATCTCTCGAATATGAGAGCGAGGTTGTTAGTCCGTGATGCTTCTGTCGTTCAATCTTCGCCATAGGTTTTCACAGCTTTCGCTACAGGAAATCACGAAGGCGGATACACATCTTGGTCGCTTTCAAGTGCGGGGTATCTTGGGTAAAATCAAGGAAGCAGGGCTAAATTTGCCGTGTAACATCCTAGAAATTGGGAGAGTAAAACAAGTCTTAGCAGAAATAAAACTACTTAACTCGTAGGCTTTGCCATATTCGAAGAAAAGAATGAATCGAGCTTCTGAGGATTTGCGGAGTCTCCATATACTGGATAGTAACTTGATTGTTTTAAGGTTATTTTGCTTACCTAACTAAGTCGTCGAAAAGAAATGTGATATGCATCATATGATAGATTTCAAAGAAATCGTTTTATATGCTGTAAAGAAACAGATTTCCACAGCGTTGTAAATGAGTTGAGTTGAGTTGAGCAGTACCCGTACCGTAGTACCTACTCAACTCAACTCGCCAAGTACTGAAGTTGAGTTGAGTATTGCGGAATATGCCGGGCCGAGAGTCGGTCAACCTACAGGCAGCATAAGCGACGAAGAGCGGAGCGGTCGGATCGGCTACTTGACGCACGGCCCGGCATACTCCGCACTACAAATTCACCACTCAACCGAGTCAACTCAACTCAACTCGGAGTAACTCTGAGTGGTACTCGAGTTGTTGAGTAGTTTTGTACAACGCTAGGTTTCCATAGTAATGAGCAACGATCTGGTTAGTTAATATATATTGTTATATCGAGCGAATTGAGACAGATTCGCCTTTTCAAGTTTTCCAAGAGAAACGTGACCAGTGTATGGAAGTCAAATTATCCCCTTTGAGAACAACGATTTACAGCAATAGAAACTGATCTGTTTAGTCAATACACATTGCTAAATCATGTAAGTTAAGTCCACATTATCCGCTTGATCAAACCATACTCGTATGTGACAAACGTAGCGATAATCACATTGCGGGATCTCGGCTGTTTATATCACGTGATGTAAATACCTACACTACAGCAAAGCAACCCTTACAGATATTACACTAAACTTCTAGCACAAGTGAAATCATTGTCTTAGGATATCTAGGCTAATAAGCAGAGTCAATAACTATTCTAAACTCTTTATATAACTATTTAGTTGTACAAGACTTTCAGGATAACGTCATTAAGGGATGTATGCACAGGGTAATAACCACGTCTCTGAGCGATTCCATCACACCTCTATTATTTCACAATAAAAGTATGGCTAGTCTTTCATTAAACGATATACGAGCATAAAGCGCCAAGTAAAGAATTAAGACTAACTTCACCGGCATGATTTTCACTCCCATTAACTCTTTAACCTCGCTGTAACGAATACTCAAACTGGCTAACTAAACTTGGCTGGGTGTTCGCTGTTTGGTATGCTATGATAAGAAGAAGACTATCGGGTTGTTCACTTGGAAGTGAACTTGTTACTTGTATCAAAGATGTCAAACTAATATGATAAGATTGATAACTAAGTTGAGCACGAAGCTCCTATCTAATGGCAGACGTGCCAGTCCTATATAGAACCTTCATTCCCATGATCGCTGCTGGTCGCCGCGACCAAGACGACCTGGCCGTTGTAGTCGCTCACGACCAAGCGACCACTATTGGTCACGTGATAACAATACAGAGAAATCCCTGGATCGCTTAGCTACTCCAAACGATCCCTATTTGCTTATAAGAAACCTGGATGTGCCTGTCGAGGGTTGCGCCTCTTATTATGACAAGTATCACGTGAGCACGTGATTCGTGACACTCGCAAAAATAAAAGTAATTAAATTTTCATCTCCATTTTCATACAACTTTTTCTTTTCCATCTCAAGAAAAAAATCAAATTAACGCAATCTTTCTAGAAAATATCACCCATATCCCTTTCCATTTTCCATTTTCCAAAAATCCCAAAAACCCAGATTCCCATTTTCCCGCAAGTCCCAGCAAGGTCTTGGCCGAACTCCGTATACAAGTATACCGCTAATAAAACAACCAATCCCAAAGTCCCAAAAAAAAGAAAGAAAAGAAAAATAAAAGGATTAAAACCCGCTTATTACGCACCAACACCCTTTTCCACCATCTCATCCCGTCCACGACACCACATCTCAAACGCCTGTCCCCAAACCTTCCCCCCCTTATACTCCCTGACCACCTCGTCCAACCCCGCAATCTGCTGACGTAAGGCGAGCTCCTCCCCACCCCGGACCTCCACCAGACGTTGCATGTACGTGCGAACCGTGAAGAGCACCGCACCACTTCTTTCCAATCGACGGAAGGTCTGGCGTTCCCTTCGGATCCAAAGATCTTCTGGGACGGTTTGGGGATTAGGGATCTCGGGGGCGTCGACGAAGAGGTGCGGGGTGGTTTGGATGAAGAGGTTGGTGCGTTCCATGGAGGTGCGGGTGTTGAGGTGGTCGAAGTATCTTTTTTGGTGTTAGTTTATGAAAGTGAAAGTAAGAAGAGGGGGGAGGGGAGGGGAAAATACCTATTTACACTCCCGCCAAGATTCTTTTTCCATTCTGGAACTGGTTTATGGAGGTTCGCCATACTGGTTCCAATTCGCTCCTGGAGTTTCCAGCCAGCTGGAAAAAGGGTAGCTGAGGCCATGAGGTGGTGGTCTCCTGTTTCCTCGCTCTTCATGAGGATATTGAAGTCTTCCATTGCTAGTCTTGCGGCGATTTCTAGGGGGTTTGGGGAGTTATCGATGTGGAATGATTCATTCGTGAGGTGGTTGTTGATTATTCGGCCAGATGATGAGGTTGAGAATGTGAAGTCTTTGGGATATCGAGAGAGAAGGAAATCTGTTACTAAGTCTAGGACTTCCTGACATGCCGCCTCGGAGCCTGGGAGACACTGGACGACGTTTGGATGGTTTGTGGATAATAACGCGGTCCGGATGTCATGCTCTGGATGATAGTTGGAGTCGATGGGTAACCAGTTGGATGCTTCGAGTCTTTTCAGACCCATGGATGTTTTGGCGGCGGTCTTTGGAGTGAGAGCTGGGAAAACGTATGGTGGGGTATCTTGGATTGGGATTTCTTTTTCATCTATTGGTGACGGAGATGAGGATCTTGAGGATCTTGAGGATGAGGACGACCTTCGGTATGGCATTCGTTTCTTCCACCATTGCTGGGATGTCTGTGTGTATAAACTTTTTATGAACATGAAAAAGCAGAAAACAAGCAGAAGTATTATAGTGATAATCTCCATGATGAAGTATTCTAATGAAGTGTTTGGACAAGATAGTAGATGAGAGGAAAGTGGTTGATAAGAGAAAGTGATTAACGCAGGAATGATCCTCTACCACTTGCGGACATAGGGTTGTTATAAAGAATCTCTCGATGAGCCATAGCTTGTTGTTAGTCAACGCTCCCTAGTAACTCTACAGGCCAACTCCATCACAACATGCTTGAAATCTAGGAGGCAGTGTAACACCACGTCTTGTTGCTTGAACGATCATAAGCAAAGCAAAACTTATAAAATGTAGGACCCTTCCCCGTATGCCGACGTCACCCGGCAACACGAGGTAGCCACTTATCCTGACTCCTTCGGTACAGCTTCGCCGTTTCCTTCAAACAATAAAAGAATTCTGAACCAATACAAGACAACTCCTCCATGTCTCTTCCATGTTCTTCCCCGCTGAAACTCAGCAGACGCGGTACGATATGCAGCCGCTAACATGCCAAAGTGGGTTCCAACATCAACCTGGATCGTGGCAAGCAGGGATGATGAAAATCTGACATCCACCCACTGGAACGCCACAAGTCACCGCACCAATAGTACGCAGACTTATGAACAGCTATCGTGGCGCGGATTCGAGGGACCAAAAACAGGCACGAACACTTCTGCAAGCAAGTAGCCCGTCTAAGCAGTTGTGCCTGCATGAAGGAAAATCTCAAGTACGGACGTACCCCATCGAGCTGCATATATCGTACGACCATCCGATAGGCCGGCGCAGCACATGCAAAACCTCTTCACTTGCAACTCTGGTAAGAATGCGTTCCACTGTCGAACAAAGGCCGTGCAACACAATTTTTTCTTTCGACGTGGCGAGTCTTCTGGGAAGGTCTTGTCCTACGTGCGGGTCTTTTAAATAAGAATCGCGCGGTAGCCGCGATATATTGAAGACGCTTGGGTCATGGTGAAGTCTAGAGCTTTGGAGCTAGGGTTCCTTGGTTGGATCTTTCGGATAACCTTCCTGAGGGTATGATTGGCTCGTCTGACCGTGTAAGCAAATAATGGAGCCTTAGTTGAGCCTGTGCATAAGACGGGATACTTAGCGGCGAAGGTAAGCACATCATCTCTACTAGGAGCAACCTCGCATCTTTTACTTGAACAGTACGTACCTGCGGAGCCAAAGAATGGATAACGATGCCAAACGACAAAGGCAAAAACCGACAAGCTTAACGTGCTACATCATCGTGACTCGCCAAGGGGTGACAATCCTTTGAGCATAAACTTGTTCGGAGAATATCTCAATCGCGATTCGCGATGATCGATCCGAGACCGCCGGTCTCGGGTACTCCTCGACTGTATGAAATCTGATTTCTTGGTGACGAGAAGAGCGATAACCAATTACCCACCGTGGGGCTAAATGGCACTGCACCGCCGTCTTTCACTTGCGTTATGCAACTGGTCTTGTGGGATTTGGTTGAATGTGATGTCGTCGTGGTGATGGTGGTTGAGGTGAAGGGTGGGAGCGAGGTTGAATGGCATTTATGAAGGGTCTCTTGGCATGTGCCAATTTTCCAGGTTTGGCAGCCGGGACTTGAAAGGTGGGGTACGGTACTGCCTCCCTGGACCTGCTCAACCAGAGAAAAGGACTTGAATAATTATTTATAAACCTCTCCACTGACGAGAAATTAATCAAGGAAACGATCTTAAAACCAAGAACTCCAACAAGATTTACTTCGTCCCAGGCGAAATACCTCGTAAACGTCACGTCCAATCGGAAAAAACCCGTTGCTTACTATGGGAAATGTACTTCGTAAGCGACATCTCAGCGATCTATCTCGCGGAGAATTCTCCTTGCACAAAGTCATTGGCCGGATTGCCAAGTGGGGATTCTAAGATCATTTGATGGTGGTAGTGCTAGCATTAGAATGTCGTGCAACGAAAAAGTAATGCTTTGGAGAGCACTTTGTGGTACTCAACCCTTCCTTTCCAACGTCACCTAATAAGCGAGGACAACAAATTTCGAACGCTATGCTGTCGGGATGCAAGTTAACCAGGAAACAAGAAGCGCGATTTTTCACCCCAAAACAGCAAAAAGCACCTTTCCAATGCCCGGCGAGTATTCCGAGAGAACCCGCCCCAAACCAATGAATTCCATGGTATCAAATCACAATCCGGATAATAGCTTCGTCACTTCCCATTTTTAGCCAGCAAATTGCCAGCTTGGCCACGAATAAACATTTGATACCAAATTGGCATGCCTCTCAATCTTCTCAAGAAGTCCAACGATGCCGGCACAAGGATCAGTCCACTTCTGCCGGACATGACCTGTCGAATGACGAGGATTGAGATGTCTTGTGGTTCGAGGAGTGGTGGTTTTCAATCAGGACGTGAGTACAATGGTTTGGTCATTGGTGTACGAACTCAGGCCGGATAGATGATGCTATCTCCCCATTAGTCGTATGCTTCCGGTGAACATAAAGAATCCAGGGAAGGTTTTCGGAAAGTATATACCTGGTTCGAATATCAGGAGCCTTATGTCGACATTTGAGTTCCGAAACCAAGCCCCCATGAAAGCCATTGCCGCAGCCTTGGAGCTACCATAGCTAGAAAACTACTATGCAGTCAGCACTCTCTTTTCACCCCACCTTCCTGTTGAGTCACCTGTTGAGTCAGCAACTCACCCCAGAAGGAGTAATAAAGCTCGCAGTGCTAGTTAAACAACCAATATGACCATGATTCTTCTCCACCATCGCAGGCAAACATTCCTTGATACAAATAAAATGCGCCAATACATTAACCGCAAAACCCGTCTTCGTACTCTCAATAGGTTCCACAAGAATGGACTTCGAGCCCGCGATTCCTGCGTTGTTGATCAAGACTGTTGGATTACCATGTTGAGCGCGAATCTCGGTTGCTACTTGAGCTACTTCTTCGGGTGATGTGACATCGGCTTTGTAGAAGTGAACATTTGTTGCTAAACGGTACGTTAGAAAGAACCATACGTGTTTGTGAAATACGGGATAGCTCAATCTCAGCATCAGAGTCGACCTCCGATTCTCTCAAATTCTCACAAAGACTTTGCAAGGTGCGTGTCGAAATCACACGCAACGACTATAGGGAACCAAATTGAAGAGAGAGAGAGAAACTCACGAAAGTCAAGCTTCGAAGGATCCAAATCCAAAACCACAACGTTCCTCCGCACCGCTCTCCGCAAACCCCTTCACAATCACCTCCCAATTATCAAGCGCCAACTCACTCACTCACCGACTTCACCCTTACAACACGAAGAGCAAAACACGCCTTAAGAACACGAAGGAAAAGTGGTGATAAGACGTATTTGTTCAGAGAAGCGGGGGTTCGAGGGGGTGCGTAGAGGATACTTCCTATTAGCGGTGCTGTGACGAGAGGATTGGTTAGAGAGACGGATTGGGACGGTCAGGATGTTGAGTTGGGAGGGGGTTCCCTTCGTGGAGGTGCCGTGGTATTTTTCTTGTATCGAATGTGCACGAGTTGTAGAAGGTGAGATAGTGTGGGGATGCAAAGTTTGGTTTTTATTCTAAGAAGGGGGGGTTAGAGCCTCGGTAACTTGTGTGAGTCCTCTATGAGGGCACTGGAGGACTATGAGCACATGCTAAGCGAGACTAGCGTGGCGGCTGTCGGGACTTAAAAGCGACCAATAAGGTATGTGGGAATTATTTTGAGTGAATATGAATGGGGTTTCCAGCGAACTAGTGTATGTAGGCTCCCCTCTTCTGTTTTCCGATGACATCAGGAGCTTAATTAAGGGGTTACACTTGAGCAAGGGTTTGATTGGCGAGATATGGTGGCTTAAGCGATTGAGTACCTGTCCAGGAGAGGGTCTGATTGTAGAGAATTCACTAAGTAATTAGAATCACTTGACTAAAAGTAGCGTCTGGACGATATTATAGATTTACATAATTTCAAATTGTCAAATTCATGCTCCCGACTCAAAAAGATTCATTGTGGATCTCTCCTGTTGCTCAGAAATGACGATCCAGTGTCAATGTTCCAGTCTTCGTAATCAGATACTCGTTGATGGCAACGTCCTTTCCAGATTCCTTACCATACCCCGATTCTTTGATACCACCAAAGGGAGATTCTGCAGCAGAGGCATTGCCAGTATTCATACCAATCATGCCAGCCTCGAGATCCTCCAGTAATCTCCATGTTCGGTCAACATTCTTAGTGAAGAAGTATGAGGCGAGGCCCATCTATTTCTTTTGATTAGCAAAATCTTTCTACAGCGTCTACAATACTTGAGGCGCTTACGCTTGTGTTATTTGCAGCCTGAACCGCTTCATCCTCGCTATCAAACGAATATAGTGCCAGAACTGGACCAAACGTCTCTTCTTGAGTGACCAACATTTCCTTTTTGGCACCAAGAATGATTGTTGGTTCAAAGAAGTATCCACCCTTTTCGGTGATCTTGTTTCCACCAAGAATAACCTGACCACCATGTTTCTTAGCATCTTCTACTTGGTTGCATGATTTTTCAATACTTTGCGGTGTAGTGACCGGTCCAATGGTGGTGCTCTTCTCGGATCCATGCCCGACGACTAATTTAGAGGTTTTCTCTTTCATTATTTGGGCGAACTTATCGTACACACCACTTTGAACGTAGACTCGGTTTGCAGTGATGCAAGCTTGACCAGCGTGACGCCATTTCAAAGCCATGAGCGCTGGAGAATTTAAGTAAAGATTCAAAGCCAGAAAGAAATGACATACCCTCAGCAGCTTGATTAAGATCTGCATCATCAAAAATCAAGAACGGGCAGTTTCCCCCCAATTCGAGCGTAACCTTCTTCAATCCATCCGAGCAGATTTTAGCTACCAACTTGCCAACTCTGGTCTAAAATCAAGTTAGCAAATGAGTTGAGTCACACATCATATCAACCGGATTATCAACAGAGATGAACTCACAGATCCAGTAAACGTGACTTTCTTTACATCACTATTTCTAGAGTTAGAAATGACTCTAGAACATTTTAGACCTTACTGTACTTACGGATGTCGACAAAGCGCCTCACTCAACCCAGGAGTATTCTCCAAACTAGTCGTCAACACATTAAAGACTCCCTTCGGGAACCCCGCCTCAGTCGCAAGATTTGCTAGCGCCAGAACCGAAAGTGGTGTCTCAGGTGAAGGCTTGACGATCATCGTGCATCCCGCCGCAAGCGCAGCACCCGCCTTTCTCAAGATCATCGCGACAGGAAAATTCCACGGAACGAGAGCTGCCGCAACGCCAATTGGTTGCTTGATAGTGAAAACTCGGCGTCCTGGGGCTGCTGGTGTCTAGATGGGGCGTTAGTATGGTTGTCTTGAGGTTATTTGGATTCTGAGGGGGTTTGAGGATAAGGATTTCATCGTGGGAAAAACCACCCCCCTCTTTCCCCGAAAACAAATTATCAAAAAAACACAAGAAATCAACACAATACGAACTTGCACAGTCCCACTAATCCTCTCTGCCTCCCCCGCAAACCACCAAGTAAAACCCAATGCATACGCAATCTCCCCATGACTCTCCGTCAACGGCTTGCCGGTCTCATACGTGACGATATTCGCGATGTCATCAGCATTCTCTCGGATGAGGGAATCCCACTTGAGAAGCCATTGAGCACGAGTTCTAGGGTTTACTTTTCTGTAGCTTTGGAATGCTTCGTGGGCAGCTTTTACAGCGGCGTCGACGTCTTCGGCGTTGTTGTCTGGGGCTGAGGCCCAGGTTTTGCCGGTTCCGGGATCTGAGGAATATTTTAGTAGGTGAGAGAGAAAAGGATTTGAGGAGGGTAATGGTTTATGGAGTATATGAGAAATGAAGAGGTGAAAAGTTATGGAGGTACCTATGACATCAAATCTCTTGCCCGATTTAGCTTCAACCCATTCCCCATCAACATACGATTTATCCCTAAAAAGGGATGCGTTTTTAAGCTTATATCATTAGTTAAGAATCCACCCAGCAAACCAAGAAGAGGGTCAAAACGTACTTCGAAAGGGAGTTTAGATGCCATTTTGTGTGGATGTTAAAGGTTTCTTTGGTCTTGGAGTTTGCTTGGGCGGGAGTGCCCAGAGGTGGGGTTGATACTTGGAGGAGGGGTAGATCGGGGAGTGTTAGTGTAACGTGAGGACAACTGGATGTGTGACTTCCACATTGCTAAAATTCATTGGTCATTATTTCTGTGAGTTAGGTACTTGTAGGACCTCTCCTACTGTAGGAAGTTGCTGTCCATCGCAACTGCCCACAGAAACACAATCTACCTACTATTTTCATTCTTCATTCTCTATCTTTCGCTCTCCTTGGAATTGACCTACCATAGGAGTGAAGCTCCTTAGTAAGATTCCACATGTCCATTCACGACCTCGAAAACCTCCTTATAGACTACCGCCATGATCTGTATTGACTTCAGAACCGTGTTTACAGGGGTTTTGGCGAACTACGAGAGGCCGGTATTAAACCCAGACGCTCACATACTCAATATCGGCTTCGACAAGTTCATCAAGAACAGTAGACGGACGATGGACGGACAATGGAATAAGTGATGGACAGGCAATAGACCGGGTAGATCATAGAGTAAATAATAGACTATTGAATTAGAAGATGATGTTATTTTTGAACAGAATACTAACTTAAGTTCCACGGATTCCCCTTAGAAAAAGGCCTCTTCTTCATTTTTCCACATCTCTCGTGTTTTCTTTTTCGTTTCTACTTTATTCTTCGCTCCCTTAGATGCTCGGTGACAACTAACAAATAGTGAAGCGATCCATCTCTGTCTCCGTCTCCCTACCAGAGAGAGCCAAGATGTCAACTCATCGCACTATAATGACATCAGATACCTCGCACCTCAAAAAATCGTTCGACAGCCCCCCCAAAATCGATATTTTGGATTTGAGGGATTTGTTTCACTTTGGGGTATCTCACTTTGGGATAAATGACGAAGACTAATAAGGGAAAGACCTAGGTCAGGGTCGCGATACTTGTACAACTCTCTATGGATAGTTTCCATCCCCCATCTTCTACTCTCCTCCTCGCCTTAGAATCGACCTATCATGGAAGTAAACCTGCCTTCCTACCTACTCGATAAGATTCCATATCCACACATTCATTCACGACCTCAAAATCACGACTCTCTCACAAACCCACAAAACTACTCTACTCTCATCCAACTCCTCGTTACACCCGCGTCTACACACCAACAGCATAGTGCGGTCTCTACGGGGACGGAAAAAACTTCCGAATTTGTACCGAGGAGACACTGTTTTATACAACAGATTTCTTACTCCATATAACTCGGAAAAATATATAAAAAATACTAGTAGACTCAAAATTAACCTATTTATATTTCTACTAATGTTTGTATATCTTTTTAGTTGCGTTGTTGTGATTTAGTGTTCAAAAGGTACGACAATAAGTGTGATTTGGGAGGAACAAAAAAGGAAGTTTTTTCCGTCCCCGTAGAGTGCGGTGCCGTGCGTGCCAGACTGTAGAATCAAACCTGCCGTTCCTCTGTACAACATACCTACCACACTAACCAGTCCACATCCACCTCCATGTATAGTAAATACCTGCAAATCCATATTCAAGTCCGAAGAATTCCATAGATAGGTAGGTACCTACAATACTCTCGCATCATAGGATCATAGATAGGTACAGTACATACAAGTACATACACGTACCCCTCACCCCTCCCACAAATAAACCAGGAGTGGGAGCCGCACCCCTCACCTCACCGAACAAATACAGCACAGTACGAGTACACTTCACAACTCCCATCCAAGAAAAACGGAGTTCCGTAAGCACTACCTCACTACCTCACACACCGACATCAACCCCCAACACGGTAGTACAGCAATCACTCATCTCCCCCTCCATCTCCAGCTTGGTCCCCATTAGATCCTCTATCTCCAGCTTGGTCCCCATTAGATCCTCTATCTCCAGCTTGATCCCCATTAGATCCTCCCTCCCGTCCCGTCCCTCCCTACCTAACGATCTCGGTACAGTACCGGATTTAAGCCAACCCAACCCTGCTTCCTCTCCTAACTCCAAGTAGAAAACTCTGGACACAACACCCATGAATCAGTACCTAATCCCCATCTGGTAAAATGCTTAATCCCGATCGGTGAATGATTGATTAGAGTATCTCCATACCTATGATGACTTAGCTAGGTAAGAACTGTATATAAATAGGGGGAGGGAGGGACCTTCCCATGGATGCTTTATCGACCCCGCACTGCAAACTGCATCGTCATCCCGCATCCCGAAGTTGGAAGTTTTTACAATTGAGCTCGATACTTGACTGCGACTACAAACAAACACAAACACAAACACAACAAGACTAAAAACAAGATGTCTCAATTACTTGGAAAGGAAGTTGGTCCTATTGGCTATGGAATGATGGGTTTGTCTATTCCTTTCCAATTACCATTTCCATCGAGCTAATTATATTTACCTAGGCCTTTCATGGAGACCACAGCCCCAACCGTTGGCAGACTCAATCAAAGCCCTCAAGATCGCATTGGAATCTGGCTGCAACTTCTGGAACGGCGGTATCCTCTACGGCACACCCGAATACAACAGTCTACACATCATCAAAGCCTACTTCAAACAATACCCCGAAGATGCTTCACGCGTAATCTTGTCTATTAAAGGTGGTGTCGAGGCCAATCTCCACCCTAACGGAGACCCAGAATTTGTCAAGAAGAATATCGATGATGCCTTGGTTGTTTTGGATGGTACTAAGAAGATTGATATCTTTGAGTGCGCGAGGGTTGATAAGAGAGTCCCTATTGAGGTTACGCTTAAAGCGCTAGAGGAATGTGTTCAAGCAGGCAAGATTGGAGGCATTTCGCTGAGTGAAGTTTCGGCTGAGACGGTGAAGAGAGCTGTCAAGGTTACGAAGATTGTGGCTTGCGAGGTGGAGCTCTCGTTGTGGAGTTTGGATATCTTTGAGAATGGAGTTGCGGCTGCTTGCGCTGAATATGATATACCGATTGTTGCGTAAGTCTCCCCTTTTCCCCTTGGTTCAATTTTGTTGCCTTGGGATTGCATCGTGTTTACGAGAGAAACTAACGGGAATAGATACTCACCTATCGGACGAGGTATTCTTTCGGGAGAAATCAAGAAGCCAGAGGATATCCCAGAAGGAGATTTCCGTCGTATGCTACCTCGATTCCAACCGGGTACCTTCCCCAAGAACCTGGGGCTCGTTCACAAGATTCAAGATATCGCCACGAGTAAAGGCGTTACGCCCGCTCAACTCGCCATCTCCTGGGTTGTCCATCAATCCAAGAAGAACGGAAACCCAGTTATTATCCCCATCCCAGGCGCCACAACCGAATCGCGTATCTTGGAGAATGTCAAATCGAAGGATGTGATTTTGAGTGAGAGTGATGTTGCGGCTATCGACGAGATTCTTAAGGGCTTTACACCGACTGGTGGTCGTTATGGAGGACCTGGTGCTGTGCATATGAATGGCTGAGCTGTTAGTAGTGCTATTGGCAATGATGTACCGTAGTTTGAGGAACTGATGGTATGCTCAGAAGTGATTGTAATGTATGAAGAGTTCGACATTGGCCGAAGCCATCCGAATTGCAGAACCCGTGAGGATATTCATCATAGCATGGAAGAAGCAGGAGAGAGTAGCTTACCATGGCTAGTAGTTGAATGCAGCATGTCGCAGCCAAGTGCGCTTCTAATTGTAGGCCATTTTCATGATGTGAGGCCTTTTGAAAAACATTCCATCGCAAGATGTTGGCACATCAGTGTGTTGAGAAGACTCGAAAAAAGAGAATAGGCAGTTTTCTCGTTGGTGCCGCAGCCGCAGCCGCACCCGCCGGCAGGGGTCGGGACTTCGGCACAAGAGCACCGAAGACACCGATGCCATCGAAGCTCAGCTCAGTCAACCTGGGCTCCCCTGGCTCAGGTATCGATCGCCCTTTTCTCCACCACTGTTTAATCCTTCCTTCTCTTCAATGTAAAGTACCAATAATAGGCCATCTGACCTGGTACATTGCCGACTTATTACTGATTTCTGCACTTGTCTATGTCTACAGCCGCTTTGAGCCTCGAAGTGTCACAGGAAAGACCCCTAAAGCTGGTAGCCGTGAAATTCTCCATCAATCATATTACTCCGAGCTGCCCCTCCCCCTCTAAACGGCCCCGCCATTCTTCACTTAGATGGCAAGCATGGGGGAATATTTCCCGATTCAGTATCGATAAGTATACCTATATATATCTATAACTTGTCCAGCTTCCTTCTAATTTGTTTGCACCGGAAAGTCAATTCCTCCTTCCAAGGTTTAATTGTAAAGTAAACCTTGCTCTGTCAATCTTTCATCTACACCCCTCAACCCCCACCAACAACCTTCAGTCTCTGTGTAGGTATCACGAAATATGGCTGAAGTCACCATTACGGGATGGGATACTCGCGATGTGCGCTTTCCTACTTCTTTGGATAAGACAGGCTCAGATGCTATGAATGCTGCTGGAGATTACTCTGCCGCTTACTGCATTTTGAAGACTGATTCCAAGTTCTCCGGACATGGCATGGTAAGAGATCCTTAAAGTACCACAACCTTCAGTTGTTCCTCTCTAACCATTCATCTAATAGACATTCACAATCGGCCGTGGAAACGACATTGTCTGCAAAGCTATCGACAACGTAGCAGATCGTATCAAAGGCCGAACCCTCTCCTCCCTCGTCGAGAACTGGGGTCAAACATGGCGTTACCTTGTCTCCGACTCACAACTGCGATGGATTGGCCCCGAGAAGGGAGTTATACATCTAGCGTTGGGAGCGGTGGTTAACGCCATCTGGGATCTTTGGGCCAAGACGTTGAACAAACCCGTCTGGAGGATTGTTGCGGATATGTCGCCAGAGGAGTTCGTTCGATGTATCGATTTCAGATACATCACCGATTCTATAACCCCCGAGGAGGCTATCGCTATGCTCAAGGCCGAAGAAGGAGGTAAGCAGAAGAGAATCCAGGATGCATTGGATAGTAAGGCTGTTCCGGCTTATACTACCTCTGCGGGTTGGCTTGGATATGGAGAGGATAAGATGAAGGGATTATTGGAAGAAACTTTGGCCAAGGGGTATCGACATTTCAAGTTGAAGGTTGGAACTTCGGTTGAGGCTGATCGAAAGCGTTTGACTATTGCACGAGAGGTTATTGGTTACGATAAAGGAAACATTTTAATGGTTGATGCTAACCAGGTATGTTTTTTTTCTCCCTATACTTCCGGCTTAGACTAACAGGCAATTCTAGGTCTGGTCTGTCCCAGAAGCAATCGAATACATGGGCCACCTCAAAGAGTTCAAGCCTTGGTTCATCGAAGAGCCTACATCCCCGGATGATATACTCGGTCACAAAGCCATCCGTGAAGCCCTCAAGCCTCATGGAATCGGTGTCGCAACCGGAGAAATGTGTCAGAACAGAGTCGTCTTCAAGCAACTCCTGGCCAGCGGCGCCATCGACGTCTGCCAAATTGACGCATGCCGCATGGGAGGCGTCAACGAAGTCCTCGCTGTCCTCTTGATGGCCAAAAAATATAACGTCCCCATCGTACCCCACAGTGGAGGTGTTGGACTGCCGGAATACACTCAACATCTCAGCACCATCGATTACGTTTGCGTCAGTGCAAAGTTGAGCGTTCTGGAATACGTTGATCATCTACACGAGCACTTTGAACACCCTTCCATCATTAAGGATGGGTATTATCAGACCCCGATGGACCCAGGTTATAGTGTGGAGATGAAACCTGCGAGCATGGAGCGATATAGCTTCCCTGGCGGAGAGAATGGATGGTGGAAGAGTGAAGAGGCGAGACCTATTCTTGAGGGAATCAAGATTTAAAAAGTTTGCTTGCGGGCTTTTTGGAGGGGGTCGGGAAGTTTTCATGTTGGGCTTCCCGTCCGCAGCGCAACGATGGGTATGTTCTTCCTCTTTCTCTGCCTTTGTCTCTCCTTCTGATATTGGGAAAAGAGATCCAAGCTAACCTTTTTGCCCCCCATAGCATCCTGTATAATTCTTGTAGAAGTTATCCTAGAGTAGCATTAGCATTCAGCGTGGGGTGATAAACCAATATTTCTTTTTTCGTGCTTTTCGTCCATTATGCCGCGTATACTGTACCGAGTACGAGTGGTGTCAAAGTAAGATTACTAGGCACTCGGTTACTGACATTGGCTGGAGGTGTTTATGTGAATGTCAACTCTGTGGGAACTATGAAGTATTATGAGTAAGTTCTGGTATAGAGTGTGAATGGTTACTGAGTAAGTGAAGTGTAGGATAGTATACAATATATACTAGTATACGAGTACTAAGTGAAGTATCTCGCTTGTCGTAAAGACTTTTGTGATGGGATGAGATGAGATGTGTAGTTAATATAAGATGGGAGATCGTGCCTTGAAAGGTCCCTGGTTTCTTAGGCGACGGAGTTAACCTTATGTAACTGAAGTCGTGTTAGGGACCGGAAAAAACGACCGTTTCCTTCTCTATATAAACAAGACTCTCTTTCTATCTTGTGGCCTTGACTGGTAAAAAAAAAAAAAGTCTAAGAAATCTAAAAATATGAATTGACTAAGGCAATTTTTACCAAGTTTTAATAATTTGTGTAGCGTTTAAAATCTTTTCTTTATACTGTAGAGAAAGCGCACAGAGGAAATACGGTCGATTTTTCCGTGAGAGCGATGTTTCGTCCGCGCCCCCACTCCGTCGTTTCAGGCTCAACGCAATGGCCCTGTCCAGGCTTTGTCCATGAAATATCGTAATGTTGTCCATAAAATCGGATATCAGAAACATGCGATGGTGAGGGAGAGTCATCGACGTCCTTCCAAGTCACAGTATTATCCACTTAGTTAAACTTTTCTCCTCGTAATTCTTCGGACTGCATTCCTTCCCCCCTCCTCTCCACGGAAACCTTTTTACCTCTTCCTGCTTGTCCACCCCCCTCGGGTCGGACACCCCCTTCTCAAAATGGCACGTCAAGCATCAAAGTCCAAAGGGGCCGCCAAAACCACATCCTCGGAGCCAAATCCAAAATCAGAACCGTCTACAATGGACCGAACGGTCAGAATGGAAGACGCCTTAGAAGACGCACCCCTTCTCACCCAGGAAAACTTCGAGAAAGAACTCAAAGCCCTCGCCTCCAAAGCCCAACAGGAGACTTGGGGAAAATGGGCCAGAGAACAAGCTTCAGTACTGAGCCAAGCTGCGACCCTCCTCTCTTTAGCTGCTGTCTACTCCAACGTCTCGTACCTCTCCCTCTCGCCCATTTATGGCTCCATCCCCAGCGGTCTTTATCACGCGAAGGGGGTCATGAGTGCGTGTTTCCTCGGGTGGAGTCTCAATCTTTGGTTCAGGAGATTATTACCAGTAAAGCCGGTTTACCTCTTGCCCGTTCTGGCGGCGTGGATCCCGGTGTCCCAGTTCTTTTTGTTCCAAGTTAGTGGTGCGATGGGAGCACGATGGGGACCGGTGGTTATTCAAGCACTGGGTTATTTGCCGCTGCTCATGATGAGTGTGAGTTGCACGGCGACGGTGCTGGATGATTTGGATATGAATCCCGGACGGTGGCAGTGGCTTGCTGAGGCAACGCCGGGGATTGCTTCGTATGCGTTTTTCAAGACGGTCGAGTACTTTTCCGGTAATTGGATTAATGCTAATATCGGAGCGACGATTGTTCAGACCCGAATTGGCCTTTCGTTGCTCTTGACGGCGTTGTATTCGTTGTTTGCGCCGTCCAAGTTGTTGCTCTATGCTGCCCCTGCGGTTTTGCATACCCTGTTTTTGAATAAGCATTTTCAGACCCCGTATGGGTTGGAGAGGGCGAATGGTGGGTTGCAGAAGACGGGGTGGGCGCTTGTGGATCGTAAGGAGTCGATTACCGGGTATATCTCTATCGTCGAGAGTGCTGGGCAATTCAGGGCTATGAGGTGTGATCACAGTCTCCTAGGAGGTGAATGGTTCGCTCGCTCAGATGGGATCAAAGAGCCGATTTATGGGGTCTTTGTGATGCTAGAGGCTGTGAGGTTGGTCAAGGTTGAAATGACAGCCCCGGAGAGGGAGAAGACCGCTTTGGTTATGTGAGTCTTTCCCTCCATGTCTTATCATTTGACTGTTTCAGAAGGAGACTAATGAATGGCAGTGGTCTGGGAATTGGAACAACTCCTGCGGCTTTCATGGCTCATGGAATCGATACCACGATTGTGGAAATCGACCCCGTGGTCCATGAATATGCGACCAAGTATTTCGCTCTTCCCGAGGAACACACGGCAGTCATCAACGACGCTGTAAAATTCGCGTCAAACACCGCGAAAGCGGGGAAGAAGTATGATTACATTGTTCATGATGTATTTACTGGCGGTGCGGAGCCGGTTAACTTGTTTACCTTGGAGTTCATCCAGGATCTTTACGATATGCTTGAACCATGGGGTGTTATCGCCATCGTAAGTCTTTCATTCCCAAGAAAATCCAATTTGAGCTTCTACTAACAACCCAGAACTACGCCGCGGACCTCACCCTCCCCCCTTCCCTAATAACCACTACAACAATCCAACAAGTCTTCCCGACATGCCGCATATTCCGAGAATCTGCAGCCCCATCCCAGGACGAAGTCGCGGAGCACCGCGGTGATTTCACCAACATGGTCATCTTCTGCACCAAAGAAGCTCACTTCCCATCCTCCTCGTCTGAACCCAAGACGATTGAGTTCAACAATCCGAAAGCGAAAGACTACTTGGGCAGTCGTGCACGTAAAGAGTTCCTCGTCCCGAGATTCGAGGTCCTGCCCCAGCATTTTGCGCCCAGAGAGGAGGGCGAGATGGAGGTTTTGAGGAAGAATGAGACGGAGAGGTTTGAGGGGTGGCAGCAGACTAGTGCGATGGGGCATTGGACGGTTATGAGGCGGGTTCTTCCGCAGGAGGTTTGGGAGGGGTGGTAGGTGAGGTGAGAGTGTAGCGGGTTTCGGGTACTTTTTTATGGGGTTTTTTGTATAATTTAATTTAGGGCCTGTTTAGCTCGCCCAATTTAGTGATTTGCACCATATAAAAAGATATGCATACAAATCTAATTTGCATGCAATTTAGGATATGCGCGGTTGTTTGGATAGCGGCAAAAGTTTCTTTTGTATAATTATAAATTCGTTACAAATCGTAAATATGATTCTTTTTAGATTTGCACCACCTAAAAACCTTTATAAAAGAATTGAACCCTCAACCCTTCAGTCTCAAGATTTGTACAAATCTCCGTGCAAATCTTTCTATCCTACACACAGAAATCGACGAATATATAACGAAACAGAAAAAACTTTTGCACCAGCCAAATAGTGCTGCATTTGTTTCGTCACAATAGTTTAATTTGTATGCAAATCAGGAAACTTTTGCATGAGTCCTTGGGGTCCTCCAGCCTGTGTATATCTAAGACTTTTACACCTAGTACAAATCTCTAAATTGGGCGAGCCAAACAGGCCCTTAGAAATTTATTGAGAGATTTGAGATTTGTGAAATTGTGAGATTAGATTGTGTGATCGTAGGGTTGTACAATCTAATTTTAGGTAAATTATATCTAATTAAAAACCCCCTAAATTAGCCTAAATGAGGATTTGACCTCTAGACTTAGATCTTGGCATATATGAATACAGTCGTATAATAAGTGTAAGCGAGATAAATTGTAAAAGAAGACTACTTTTACTAGATAGATTACTAGAAATATATAAGGTAGAACTTCTATATAATCATTTTCTCTTATCTTATGTAGGTGTTTTCTTGACCTCCCGCTAGTCGTTTAAATTATAGATAATACTAAATATTATAGATGTCAAGAGAAATTATAGATAACAGAGTAGGGTTAGGGTTATAATAGCGCCGCGGGATTATGATGTTTTCCGCTCCGAGGTCACGATTATAGTCATGTGACGCATATAATTAGGATCTACTTAAAACTTATCTAAACGCCTAATTTACTAATTATTTCTAATTTATTCAAATTAGATCTAAACGAACAGCCCTATGTGATTGTGTGATTGTGAGGTTTTGTGATGAGACTAGGTTTGTGATTTTGCGACTTTCTGAAGGTGTGATTGAGTCCCAATTCCAATTCTAGTCTCCTAGATTCCTTCTTTTTCTGAACCCTCCTCTCCCTATCGTAGTAATCAATTGGTAACAATACCTTGCTCCTTAAGTTCATTAACCGCCATAACACCATCAACACAAGCTGCTCTTGAATTGGGATAGCTGTACTCAAGTAAGGCACCTATCCAATACCTCTCACAAAACATACAAAGTCCTTACACTAATCATCTAGTACAAGTAGAAACCCTATCTTGATCTATCTAGGCACGTAAAAAGTATACGTTATAATTCTCTTAAACTCATTATATAACTCTTCAGACTCTTCCATCATGCGACGGTTTCAAGATACCATTATTTTTCTCCTACTTAAAGCGATATATCATTAAAGAGTAACAATTACTTTTACTAATATAATACATTAGAATATCCACCTTCTCACCGAAACACTTCTAAGGAAAGAAAATTGAATGATAAGAGTAGAGAAATATCCTGTGGCTCTAAACTACTTCTACGAATCGAATCTGAGAGTTTCCACTATTTCTTGGGTACGTATCAGATAGCAAGGAATCTCGGATGGTAAATTCTCAACTTCGCATCTTGTCATGTGATTTACGGAAAAAATGTCCAGTCCTATCCTAGTCTAAATCTTGTGTGTCAAATATAGGAGGATCTTGTGGAGTAGGATAGAGGATGCTTCGCTGTTTCTGTTCCTGGTATGAGGAAGGTGATGGATACTGGAAGGACAGATAATATGGGAAGTTCCGGTAGAGGGTCTTTGGCTGAGGATGGTGGAGGCGGGGCCTGGGATGGGCTATGGTAGTTGGGGGTTGGAGATTTGTGGAATGTATTATGTGTGGTTGGGGTTTTTTACTTCCGCTTGTTGAGTGAGCAAAAGTTGAAGTGGGAGTGTACAGTACATATGTACAAAACGGGCGACACTTCACCTCGTAGCCAACTTCCAAGGAACATAAAACGAGGATCTCGGAAAAGGTTCCAGGTCACTTATACGCCCAGCCTCTTTTAGAAGAAGAGGATGTAGATCTCCATGCTGGGATGTCGTATTTTTCTCTTTTGAGTGGTTGGAGAAAAATGGGGAGATAGATTCGGTGCTTTTTGGGGTTTTTTTATGGTTATGGTATATTTTATTTATATTTATCTGCATGGATGGGGGGTTGCTGTATAGTCGACAGTGAGAAAGTTGTCGACAGCAAAACCTTTCTTACACTTTACCTTGAATGAATAAAATGCAACGTGAAGTTCCGCCTCCGGCATGATCACTCGAGAAGCTCTCATTATAGTAAGTGGTGATAGGAGAGATCCTGTAATCTTTACCAACCGATTTGGTTGGCATCCATCTGATTCAAACTTTTCTTAGTATCAGTTTCATACTTTGTCCGTACTTGGATATAAAAGCTTCTAAACTTCCCCATCTCTCCAACATCCTGTTTAGCACTCTCAACCAGGGTCTCCAACAGAGACTGGTGGAACTTCAAAAGTTCATTTTGTATGTTTATAGGAGCATTTTGGAGCAGCGTTTGTACAAATTCTCTTAGATTGTAATTGTACGAGGTAATCTATTATTAATATTAGTTAGAGGATAGGAGAGACGTATACTTAATCAGACATACGTCTTCTTCTATCTCCTCACTAGCCACATCGTCAATATCAAATTTTCTCTTAACTCCTCCGGCATTTCTCGATGGTTAGTACTCATGATTCTCTGGTATATTCTCGCAATATCTACAAAATTAGAGTAGTCCAAATGTCTCTTCTTTTGGCCTCTATGTTATTACTTCATTTATATCCTCTATTTGTTTCAGCTCATTAGGCTATCGAATTACATATGCTCTTCATCTTTATGGAGGTCACATCCACACCTTCACCACCGATATTCTTTGGTTTTAACTTTTAGTACTGTAGTATATTCCCTGTAATCTTACAGCTTTGACAACCCACTTCCAAGATAGTCCCAGTCCCGGTCCTAGACGTTCCATTGAAGGACCGCATGTGCTCAATTTGGTCCCTCAGTCTCCTTTTGTTGTTTCTGTGATAAGATCGAAAAGCATATTAGTTATTGACCACAGACTACAGCCTTTCTCGAATCAAACAAAACCAGCCTGACTGATATCTAAAAGAACCCTTACAGATACAGGAAATTTTAAAAAAACAATACTCCGTCTTTATACTTGGTAAAGTTTACAGAGAAGTAAATCAGGCCTCGTGCAGTGTAGCACGAGCAATCAAATTGCACCCAGCCTGAGTGCCAATTCCAAAATTATCCATCACTAACTCAAAATCGCCGGCCGTGGCACCTTCAATAGCGAAATCAAATGTTTGAACCAGAGCATAAAGTAGCAAATACATTCCAGCCCAGGCCAGGCTAGAAAGCAATCATCCAATTAGCGGTAATCTTTGTATGATCGAAACAAATGACAGCCTGAGCGGAACAAGAATCATTGGGAGCATCTGGGAGGAGATGACCTACTGCATACCAAGGCACATTCTAGTTCCTCGCGAAAAGGGAGCAAATTTCGCATCAGAAGCTTTCCAGAGATTTGGTTCCACGCCCATCCAGCGATCAGGATTAAAGAACATTCGGTTAGGATATAGTTTCGCGTCGGTATGCATCAGCAATGTAGTCATCCCAACTGGTGTGCCAGCAGGAATACGCCATTTGTTGTAGAAAAGATCTTTGTCGGTAATGCAGGCCATCCGTGTGGATATACCAGGACTCAGGCGAAAGCGCTCTGTTAACAAGCTGTGAGATATGGCACATGCTCCAACTCTTTTAATGTGAGTAGCTTGGAAGAGGTGAAGGAAGAGAATTCCTGCCTCATTTTTTGAAGGATCTTATCATTGGAGTATACGTGGTAGAAGATTAACCTCAGGGTATTGGCTGTTGTTTCGTATGCTGCGCCAGTCACAGTGGCAACCTCTTCGTGGACGCGAGCAAAGGTTTTGTCATCAGGTGGAAGGTTAGAGTCCATGATTTGATGGATCATGGTGTATCTTTCGGTTTTCTTTTGTGCTTTCCCGTCCTTTGAAGATGATGCCGCATCCAAGGCACTTCGTGTATCTTGTTCGGATTGCTCGAGGTAGCGAAAAAAGGATTTCGTACCATCATCAGCTACCTTCATCATCCAACCGACGGGTATGGAATTCGAGGCCGGACCGAACCAACGCACATGCTTTTTTATTCGCCAGAAACTCCCTGCTCCTCCCGATATGAGAGATAATCCCACGCCAAAGTCCTTCAGCTGAATCTCGTTGTATGATTTGCCAAGGATAAACTCGTTAGCATTGTCTCGTGTAAATGCGCTGATGGCTGCGCCTAGGTTGAAGCTATTCTTCGCCTCAAAAAGCTCATTTATATGCTGGCAAAGCTTGTGTACGTTCTGAATCATTAAGTTTTCCCGAGCAAGAATATTTGGCTTCGAGAAGAATGGGGCAATAGCATTGCGGTGAGCCTTATGGGCATCATGACCTAGGATAGCATTACTAAGTCAAGATCAAGAAAGGTATATCCGAGAGGACTTAACTGAACCAAAGACGGTTAAAGGCATCATAAGTCCAGTTATACTTGTCCCAACGCTCATCCACACGATATAGACCGTATCGAAAAAATCTGGATCAATGATGTGCAATTCGTGCGGGCTAATTCGAATTGTGGGCCCTGTTGTAATTCAAAGTCAAGGCTGGTTCCAATTATTGTCTTCAGTTTCCTTTCCTTTCCACAGATATTTACATGGAAGTACCGTACTGCTTATCATATCGTCGATGCAACTCTGCAATTTTTGAAGTGTATTGACCACCTAAGATAATGTCGTAGTAGGCCTCATACCAGCGAGATATTGCTGCTAGTCTGGGGCCAGGAAAGCGTGCTAGGGGAGGAAGAAGTAAACGGTAGAACAGAATGGTCATGTAAAATACAGTAACAGGCACGATCAACAACGGCCAGGTTATGTTATGTTAGCCATTCCAATCTTGAGAGTTCATTCTGTGACAGTAGGTAGAGATAATTCCAGATACCGTGATATATCGTCTCTAATGAATCTGGGTGGGACGTGAGTGGATTGCACTAGCAGTTGTCCGTAGACTCCGAATGGCTAGAAGTCTACGGCGAAGACGACCTTCTTACGCGTCGTTTCCTGGCTAGGGACCATTCCAGTAGTGGAAAGCTGATCTCTAAGTGGCCCGAAAAGTGATCTTTCAACTTACGCTACTCCTGAGCGCCATCCGCTCACGTCCCACTCCTCTTCCTTAGAGACGATGTCACGGTATGTGTAGGGGTGCAAGAAGTGTGGTCGGCGAGGTCAGCTTGGATCGACAGCGCATTCGCTTATTTCCTGTCGGGTATCTCTCCAATCATCACAACGCTATGGACAGTCGAACATCTTCACAGCTCTCTGGATTTTTGGATTTTACCGGAAGTTTCTAGGCCTCGGTCACAAAGACAAATATATTGGTGTCGAATCAGGATAATAATCGCGTACTATATCCAATCGCACTACAGTGGTGAGTTTGTTGGTACTGCGCAAGCACGTGAAAAAGCCACTGACAATAGATAGCTGCCCAAGATACCGAGTACCAACAATTTCATCGACCGTGGATCCTGATATCACGCGCAACATCGAGTTCTGGTTCAATCGCAATCCCATGGAATGGATATTGCTTCCCCTGGTCTTGACGATCAATTGAAGTCTGAATTCGAGGGTCTCGTCCTGAAGGCTCGCCGCGGCGAGTTGGACGATTGGGCTACCAACGCAAAAGGCAGCCTTGCATTGATTGTTCTACTTGATCAATTTCCAAGGAATTTATATCGCGGTTCCTTGGACGCATTCGCTGCTGATGGAAAGTCATGGGAGATGGCTACGAACGCCATCGCTCAAGATTTTGACGAGGACAAGGAGATAACTGTGTATCAGGCCTTTGCCTTTTACATGCCGTTGATGCATCAGGAAACAAACATTTCGCTGATCGCCGCTCGTGGTTGTTTGAAGGCCTTGAGAGGAGGTGCACGAATGAGGAAGAACGCGACTGGATCGGCAAGGCTATATAGGTGCTTCGAAAGGCCATATGGAGCAATTGCAGAAGTTCGGAAGGTATCCCACTAGGAATGCGCTTTTGAGTCGAAAAAACACAGAGGCTGATGAAGAGTTTTTGAAGGAGCAGAAACAGAGTGTGTAAAAAATGGGGTGAATTTCATAGGAGGCCAACCCGATGTGCCAGAGAAGCCACCCGCCCCAACAAGACTTGCCGCCCAAAAAAACAACCTAAAAAATTGCAAAAAACTTAATTCCCAGCTGTACAAGAACTGTACAGGGTCCTCAAGGAAACTCAGACACCATTTCTGGTCGGTTTATTATTTCGCTCCGATAGGCCGCGCGGCTTGCGGAATTTTAACGTCTTCCTCCTGACTGTTTTGCCCATGCTCCAGTGCAACCCGCAATTACGCTAGGTCGAATAGCGAGAGTTGGATGTGTTATTTGACGTTATCGATGAGAAAGCTCGGGAGAATAGGATTTGTGGGTTATGTGAGTTTTTGGTCGCGAGTGAATGTTGCTGTTGAGACGGTGGTTGCTATGGATGGAAGGCGCGACCCTCCGTAAGCGAGGCGTCGTTATAACAGTGGGGCAACCATTTTGGATGTAGTGGAGAAGAATAAAAAGTAACGCAAAGACAAGGAATTTTTCATGGGAAAATGGCATGTGTTAAGTATTTCTATCAAGCCGAAGGATATGTTGGATAATAACAAAAACACGTCATAGTCAACAAACCCCTTTCCTCCACTCTGTCATCCATCTTCCTCTAAGTAACAGGCAACTCAGTACGAATGTCCATAAGCGCTTGCTGACTATTCCCAGCAGAAAACGCAGGCCCCATCGCTACAGTGGAGGCATTTTTTCTATTTTCTCTCTAGAACAAGAATACTAGTATCCCAAGCACCCAAATCCCAAGTGGTACGCCAACACCAAACCCTACTTTTGTCAATATATCGGTATTTGGAGGTGTTGTTTCCAAGTTGGAACCTTTCGAAACTATAAGTGCCTCATGCCCTATTCTTTCGTGCTACAGCCATAGGCTCTTCTAAATTTCAACTCTCTTATATTCCCTTCCCTACAAATTTTTGTAAATCCTACCCGTCCCTTAACATCAAGCATATCTCTAGAGCCCCTTCTCTCTCCAAAAGCTCAAAATGCCATAAGAGCAAAGAATCAATAAAAACACTGCAACCCAAACGTAAATTACTATCGAACTCTTGTCAAGCTTAGCAAAGAGAGCGAGAAGCGAAATGAAATAGGATTTTAGCACTGAAGTTACCGGAGACTTCGTATTTTCTAAGGCACGTTGTCAAACTTTGTCTAAATAATACGGAGAAAATGACAAAAATTATTTTATCCCGTAGCAAATAGCTATAGTATTTTCCTCCTTCAATTGGTGGCAATTCTGCACCGTCCTCTAAGCATCGACTACACCAAACGGAAAGCGGAGGTTTTTCAGTCTCTTTCCAATCTCAACCGTTGTCTGCGACGTGTTTTCATTTTCGCATCATTTCTAAAAGACTCAACGAAAAAGTGTCTTCTAAAAATAGCCCCGTACAAATTGATTTTATATCAGTGCTCTTTTACAGCCTGCTGTCATGCTTAACCTTAAACGCAAGGAAGCCCCTTACCGATATCAGATGCAAGCTCGACGACGATCTAGATCGGCGAGTAAACGACGAATGACCCCTCGCATATTTAATATGGGTTATACTGTATTGAAAACTTATGCTTAACTATACGAGTATCTGCAGTGTGTTCTCAAGATTACCTATATATTAATTGGGAAGGGTTTTACTTTAACCATTTGTCATCTTCACTCTTATAAAAGTACTGTATTCTTGCTAGACATTAGGTTGAGAAACGTCGAATTGCTTGTTATGTAATATTAACCAGCCGATAATTATTAGTTCTTATGTTTTTCATTCGAGGGAGTACAAACTTTGAACAACAAGAAGTTCAAGAACTACGTGTTTATCCTGATTCAAAATTGATCCCAAAAACCAGAAGTCATGTATCAGAACCGGCGCTTTATTGGGCGTATGGGAAGATGAACATAAAGCGGAAGATCGCTTAAATAGGTTCCGTCTCGCGTCCTCGCGTCCTCGCGTCCTCAGGGTAAAACATTTTCAGCTCACGTCGACGTCGGGATGAGAAAATATTCTCAGCTCGAGTTGTTCAGATAGAACTTAACTTCGACACGTCACACATGTGGGGTTTCAATTTCAGCCTACGTCACAATTAAATCCGCTCTTTTCAAAAGATTACTTCGAAGTACCAACTACTTCGTACTCCAAAATACGAAGCAGAAAAGGCAAATGAAAGTTTGAAGTTAAAGTTCAGACGTGTTCCTTACGAACAATTTACCCTCGTATAATACGCTTTCAAACTAAGTTCATGACGTGATGGCAGCGTGTAATTTTATACCGCGGTGCTCAGAAAATACAGCCTATAGGATAGATGGAAAAAAGGTACTCGGTACCATGGCTCTAGTCCGTGAGTTCTGTAACTTGAATAGCTCGATGTACACGAGTCAAAAGAATCTTACGCTCTAGGGATTACCAGATATATAGTATCTATATTATCATATATTTAACTTGCATCTCTGCGACTATTCTGCTTTGGGATGTTGCATTAGTTTCTGATCGCATTAAGTTGTATAACAAGTTTCTGCATCCGCCGGGACCAGCCGTTCTATACATTAGTTGAAAATCATTTAAGCTTCCAAGAGTTAGAAAGGTGTAAACGTGCTCAAAGGTCTGTGCTTAGGAATTCTTTTCTTCCTATAATAAAAAGCATGACATAGTGCTGCTGGCGCCAATTTTTTTCTCACAATGACTTTCGTTAATACGAAGTAAGAGTTTAGGACGTTACTCTCCGTCCTTTCCCGTCTAGTAGGTTACGTATATAACTTGTAGAGCAACTTGTATAGTTGCTTTGATTGCTTTACTTTAATAACAGATTAGTATTGAAAAAGGCATAGAAATCAGCGACAAGACAACACCTAGTACAGGTGTAAACCCAAATATTATCCTTTTGTCCGTAACACCTACACTACTGGTACTTCGTAGGTACAACGTCCAAATTAGGTTTGGTCTGAGTTCCTCCACCAATAAAACTGGTAGATTGCCGCAGGTTAACCCTAATTAGAACGTTCTAGATACAGGGATAACCAACGCATCTACTAGCGAGTGTGGATGGGCCAAGTGCGGGAAGTCTATAATAGCTTTAATTTCTGTAGACCGCTAGACTAGTTTAAGGTACTGAATTATAGGATAACTTTCAGCCTGAGCGTAGTTAGTACTAACTACGCTCGATCCTCTTCTGGCTCCATAAGTTATTTATATACAGTTTTTACATAGACGTTGCTCCGATATCGTCCACTACCGTAGTAAATCGAACTTAAGAATGATGCTGGGGTAGGCGGGTGGAGTGCCAAAACTACTTGGTAGGCCACTTAGAGAACAGCTTCCTACGGGTCCCTCGCTCAGCGTAATCTCCTACGCATGAGAAGAACAACTTCTAGCGAATAGGAGCCTCTACTTTACTCTTAGTTGACACTGTTCAGTACTCCACCCGCCTACCCCAGCATCCATCTTAAGTTCGATTTACTACGGTATTCAATACAAACCCAACTTCGAAACTCCTAGAAGAGATTGGTAAAAGTCGACTTTATTACTCGACGCGAAACGGCGGACACTCCATGTAACATTCTATACCTTAGATGATCAGTGAGTTGGCCACTGCGGAGTGTTACAAGGGTATCCGCAATAATGAAAGAGCGGATTTGCCTGATTTCTGAAGGGATAGGAGAAGGGATTTGGGGCTTAGAGGGGCTTAGAGGTGGCATTTGATACGAGGTTTTTCTACCAGTAAAATTCTCTTCTTCCAAAGCTTAATCTGCATTCAGCTTTAAGGTTACGATGGTACGAGGCGCGGCGAACCTCGCCCAAGACTTCCTGGAGAGCCCAGAAGTCTGGCAGCGGCGTTAAGACTTTTACACTTCGACCCACTTTTATTACGCCCCATGGTGAGTTCATAACAGTGGAAATTGCCTAATGCCGCCTTGGACCCAGCGAGTTACCCACACCAAGGCTGTAAAAGGTCCTCCAAAAACTCTTATACTGAGATTGAACTCTCGGTATCAATCAGCGAAATGAGGAACAAGGATTGACCACCAATAGTAACAGGGTTTCACATCAGGAAACCTCGTCACTGTTGTGAAGGGGGACGAATTACTTCGGTAATGGGAGAACTAGCTTCAATATCAGGCTACCAGGCTTTCTGACCCCTGTTTATTACGATGTTTTTACTTTCCTGCTGCTCCGTACCTAGTTATGTCGCCTGGGACAACAGTTCACGAGGAGTATAAGAAGATCGACACTTCTCCCATTATTCTCTTCTTCCTCCACCACCATCAAGGCCATCAACTACTTACACTCTTTAACTACACTCTCTAAATACCAGCTTTCGTTTTTCAATCGTTCTTACCTTACAGCCAAAATGGTCTCTCTACAAATTGCTGCTATCGGTGCTCTTGCCGCCTCTGTCGTTTCAGCCGCCAGCATCCCAAATGAGTTGGCAGTGAGACAAACCTCCCCAGGTAAGCGCAATTGCAATTCAATTGCAAATCCAAATAATTGGCCTTGAATCTAACCTAGTACAGGTTCCTACGCAACTGCATACCTAGACATCGAGAAGAAGATTGCCGACTTTGGTTGCGCCCCTCTCCCAGCCGATCACCTCTTCAACAAGAACAACGTAAGTAATCACTCAGCGAGGAAAGTCTCCGTACTAATACTACTATAGTTCACCTACTTCATTGATGTCTTGTCCGACTACTACAGCATCATTGCTACCCCTCTTGTCACCGCTACAGACAAGTCAGCTTGCGGTACTTGTGTAGAGGTTACATACACCACCGATGCCGGTGAGAAGAACAAGGTGTATGGTGTTACTGTTGATGGAACTGGCGGGTACTACAACCTCGATCTTGCTGGATATGCAGGATTGGGTGGAAGAGAGCCATTTAACAAGGGTACCCTCCAGATCAAGGCCAAGACTGTTGACCTTAAGAAGTGTGAGCGCCAAAGACAGTAGATGACTTATGTCCTCGCTGTATAAAGGAGTAGGTAGTTTTGGTGTGAAAATTATGGACTTGGTATGGACTTGGTAGCTCTTTTTAATCAACGGAATTTTTCTTCTTCCACTTTGACGTTTGCGTACAATTGCTTGAGTAGGCGTCAGACGCTTATGATGAATCATTGCCAACAAGTCAACTACTACTCCGTAGAAGTTCAAAGCTGCCTGTACACAATGCATGAAGGAAGAGTCTGCTGAGGCTCTCTCCTATTGGCTTGTTACCGGGGTTACCCCCTACACGACTCACCGAGCACAGAATAATTTGTTACACAACCTCCTAGTGTACAAGAAAAATGACCGAGACTTCTTTCATCTTAGCCTACCTTAACTATAAACTATTATATTATATTAATTATCTAGACTAATTAAAATAATTAATTCAAACGATAGGACAATAAAGACCATTGTTTTTAAGTATTTCAAACATTTCAATACTTAGAACTAACTTACGCGAAGAATTGAAAAATGAATCTCCACCACTTTTATTGTCCACCGGGAGATAGCCTGAGGCGCAAGCGATGTTTCAATACTGTACAGCCATGTGCATACTGTGTGATGAGTCAGCTTCCGTCTGTAAAGTATTGGCTGAACTCTATGATATTACACGCGTCCGCATGGAGCCCTGGACCCGGTGGATACGTACCAATCTTTTGATACAGGGGGCCAAAGGATGGGGGTAAGCGAGGTAATGGTCGCAACGAGTAAACAAAATATGATTTTCTCTTGCAGTACTGTAGGTTCTCTTTCAAGAATTACTTCGTCCTAGGCGGAATGTATACAATTCAGTAAACGTGAGTTTTCTAGGGGTGGCTCAGGCGAGCAACAAAGTAAAACCTACCTAAAAACTTACATTTATTTCGCCTGTGACGAAGTACATGTATGCAGCCACCGGATCGAAGCTTCCAATCACTCCGCCAGGACCACCAACTCCCAAGAAACAAATGGGCAACTTACAAAAGCAATATAAATATAAACATATAGCTTTGAATATTATAGTCAACTCCCACCGATGTCCTTCAGAGAAAGGTTTAGTGCAGAAGGATTTACTACCAGCTCTCTTTCAGAATTGACTGAGAAAGACTTTCATAAGAGGGTAGACACCTCAAGTCGAACAGTAGAAACCCACAAGCCAAATTACAGCAAAAATACCAAAGCAGGAACTTAATACAAGACATTTAGCTGCCAAAATTCTTCAGGGAACTTATCAACGACGGCGCGGCATATATACTATTGTGATTCCGAAGAATACACACAGTATCTACTATCTTACATAATACTTCGTCCTAAGCGAAGTAATTGTAACTGTTTCAGGAGTTTTACCCTATTATCCACTGGAGCCACCCTTGAACTACAATTATTTCGCCTGGGACGAAGTAATACCATTAAAGCATCACCCCTTGAAGTAAGTAACCATTAAACTCACCTACAAATCCCATCAACCCTAGCCTCCCTTGGCTTCCCCTCTACCCTCCAACTTGCATCCCCATCACCCGAGGCCCCGAACCCAACAAACTCCCGTGCCTACATTATCTAGCACATTTGACATTGCTTTGTTCATCAATCCTGTCCTCTTAGCGATAGCTACAGCACCCCCTCCATTCATCAAGTTTCCCCCTTATCAGCAAATCTCGCCTCGGTACTCCAGACCCCCCATTGCGACATCAAGGTATCTCTCGACGACAAATTATCTCTTGACGGCAAACCTCTAACACTGGCACACACCCAGATCATTATCTCAAGAAACGATTGATTCCTACTCACTTCAAATTTCTTTCAGCTTTCATCACCAGACCTTCCCTCATTAGCACACTGTCCTGTGTAAAATCCCAACTCCAAACGCCGAAAAAACCCATTACACAAAGGAGGAAAAAAGGGTAGAGCCATCGTATCGGTGAACAAGCCTGGGTATCACAAAATGTGGAGAAACAAGAGGGTAGGGTATGGTGAGGGAAAATGAGTAAAGTGGAGAAAAACAGCCTTGATCAACAAGCCCTGATCAACGACCACCAGAGAGCTAGCAAGCATCCTCTTGTCTCATAATACTTTAGATAAAGTCCTGATTAGGGTCATCTGCCAAATCCTCCAGTTCCCAGGGGCCCCAATTGGGTTCGCTGGACTTCATCAGAGTTCCGCCCGGGCGAACTCGATAGCGCTCAATATAAGGCGCGCTCCACGAGTAACTAACTAATGGGCTATTACCTGGAACAAGGATGCCATTAATGAAGAACCATTTGCTGATGGAGACCTGTATGAGGATACACTTTCTTGCAGATATTTCGGTTAGTGATTGATATAGGAGAAGATCAAAGTTAAGCCCCCAAATCAGTACCCAGATTCCGTATCCGCTTCGACATTCCACATTCGCCAGACTAGGCGAGATATATCTCGACATCTTAGATGGGATTTGAACGTTTTACCTCCTTGTATTCATACCAGACGTAGTCAAGGCTATACACCCGTCCGTATTTAACTAAAAGACACAATTATTCCTCTAAATACACCTAGCCTAAATATCCTCATCCCAAATCCTCATAAAATCAAACTACTTCCACGCACAACCTACAAGAATTCAGAAAACGATATATCACTCAATCAACCTAAGTAACCTAGCACAAATTCACAATCAACAAAATCCAACAAAATCCCCTAACACAATAAAGTCCCAGGATATATCCAGAGTACTATACTACTTGGTATATCAGACAAATCCCCTTTCGTAGGTGAATTACTTAAATACAAAATCTCAATCTAACCTCCCCTTCACATGGGTAAGAATACACCTTACAAACACAATATAACTTAACAAACCATTAATATTATATAAATCTTATCTCTTCAATACTTCATTAGCATAAGTAATGCCTAATACCTAATATCCAACCCACCATCAAAAAACAACAAACCAACAAACCAACCAAAAACAACAACCTCTCCTGGCACACCTACATACCAACCACTCAATCCCTCTCCCCAGCCTCCCAACCCCTCCCCCTCCCGCTCCCCCATCCAACCCCAACACCCAACCCACCCATCTCACAAAAACTTAGAGAAACTAACTACCATCCCCCTCCCTCCTCCCTCCCTACCTAACAAAACCCACTCACAAAAACACAAACAAAATCAAAATCAAGATTTCCCTACCTCTCATCCTACTAAAGAAATAGTTCCTAATCGAATTAAGAATCAAGACTATACGGTCTATACCTAGGTATATATCCTCTACGCCGGAGGAGAGGGTAGGAGAGGAGAGGAGAGGATTATAGGAGATACTTGTATAATAAGAGAAGAAGTTATAAGTACTATATAGGGTAGTGTAGGATAGGATAGGATAGGATAGGATAGGATAGGACAGGATAGTAAGACTCACAGGTTTACGTTTAAGTTTGAATTTATATTTATATTTATATTCAATCCATCCACACAGTAACAAACAACAAGCAAATAAAAATCTACTTCCTTATATCTACCTCCTATCCCTACCCATCCTATTCCTTGTCTACATTCTACTTACAAACCCAACACCCCCACCCCACCTCATCCCTCCACATATCCACATATCCACATCCATATCAACAAACCCTACAACTCATCCTTCCCCTCCTCCTTCNATTTGCTGATGGAGACCTGTATGAGGATACACTTTCTTGCAGATATTTCGGTTAGTGATTGATATAGGAGAAGATCAAAGTTAAGCCCCCAAATCAGTACCCAGATTCCGTATCCGCTTCGACATTCCACATTCGCCAGACTAGGCGAGATATATCTCGACATCTTAGATGGGATTTGAACGTTTTACCTCCTTGTATTCATACCAGACGTAGTCAAGGCTATACACCCGTCCGTATTTAACTAAAAGACACAATTATTCCTCTAAATACACCTAGCCTAAATATCCTCATCCCAAATCCTCATAAAATCAAACTACTTCCACGCACAACCTACAAGAATTCAGAAAACGATATATCACTCAATCAACCTAAGTAACCTAGCACAAATTCACAATCAACAAAATCCAACAAAATCCCCTAACACAATAAAGTCCCAGGATATATCCAGAGTACTATACTACTTGGTATATCAGACAAATCCCCTTTCGTAGGTGAATTACTTAAATACAAAATCTCAATCTAACCTCCCCTTCACATGGGTAAGAATACACCTTACAAACACAATATAACTTAACAAACCATTAATATTATATAAATCTTATCTCTTCAATACTTCATTAGCATAAGTAATGCCTAATACCTAATATCCAACCCACCATCAAAAAACAACAAACCAACAAACCAACCAAAAACAACAACCTCTCCTGGCACACCTACATACCAACCACTCAATCCCTCTCCCCAGCCTCCCAACCCCTCCCCCTCCCGCTCCCCCATCCAACCCCAACACCCAACCCACCCATCTCACAAAAACTTAGAGAAACTAACTACCATCCCCCTCCCTCCTCCCTCCCTACCTAACAAAACCCACTCACAAAAACACAAACAAAATCAAAATCAAGATTTCCCTACCTCTCATCCTACTAAAGAAATAGTTCCTAATCGAATTAAGAATCAAGACTATACGGTCTATACCTAGGTATATATCCTCTACGCCGGAGGAGAGGGTAGGAGAGGAGAGGAGAGGATTATAGGAGATACTTGTATAATAAGAGAAGAAGTTATAAGTACTATATAGGGTAGTGTAGGATAGGATAGGATAGGATAGGATAGGATAGGACAGGATAGTAAGACTCACAGGTTTACGTTTAAGTTTGAATTTATATTTATATTTATATTCAATCCATCCACACAGTAACAAACAACAAGCAAATAAAAATCTACTTCCTTATATCTACCTCCTATCCCTACCCATCCTATTCCTTGTCTACATTCTACTTACAAACCCAACACCCCCACCCCACCTCATCCCTCCACATATCCACATATCCACATCCATATCAACAAACCCTACAACTCATCCTTCCCCTCCTCCTTCTTCTCCCCACCCCCACCTCCATTCCCCTTTCCCCCCCTCTCACAAACCGCCGGCGTCCCCACATCCATGCGATACAAACACTTCTCCCTCTCAACCACCTTCCAAATCTCCCCCTTCTCCGCACAAGCCAACACCACCAAAGTCTCCCTCGCAGGCCCATTCCAACAAGTCTGCCCCCCCTCATACCTCATAACAACCCTCTCTCCACTCCCCACCCCCTTCCCATCAGGCCCCACCTCCTCATCAAAAACCTGGAGATCAAACCGTTTAAACTGTCCCATCCCCGTATGCCCACCGCCCTTCTTACTCTTCTGCGTCGTGCCACCGAGCCAGCAGAGTTCGTACTCGTACTCACCGCTGTCGCGGGAGATGCACTCGTCCTTGAGGGCGCGGAAGATATCTTGGGGGCCGTAGTCGGTGTCGCGGTCGCGTTCTAGGTCGCCGAGGGAGGTTTGGGCTGAGTTGAGCTCGTCGCTGACGGCTTGGTGGGCGGAGCGGGCGGTGGTGACGGCTTTGGATTCGTGGCCGGAGTTGGCGTTGTCTGCGAGGATGCCGTTTTCTACGAGCATGATGCGGAAGTCGACGATTTTTTGGTGGACCCAGACGCGGACGGGGGCTGGGAGGTATTCTTCGAATGCGTAGACTGTGTGAGTGTCAGTAAAGTTCAAATCACCATCAAAACTCTTCTCCCAAGAGAAAGTTCTGTGTAGAGGATACATACTAGCATCAGTATCACCCTCCTCCTCCGCCTCCCACTCCGCCCAATTAATCCCCTCCGTCTCACTATCCGGTCTCATCACAGCCTCCAGATCCTTCTGCGTCGCCTCATCATCATCAACACCCATCCGATTCGCCGCATAATCCTCCCAACTCTTGACCGCCCTCTTGACACCCTCATCATTGAAATTGGGGTTCCGCTCCTCCTGGAACTTGGCCAGAATCCCCTCCAACTCCTTAACCTTCTCCTGCAGCCCATTCTTCTTAGCCACCACCCCATTCAACGTACTCAACAACTCCTCCACCCGATCCTTCGCCAACCCCGCAAGAATCGTAACCTTATTCCCCTTCCTCTCCCCACCCTTCGTCACCCTCCCCCGCTCTCTNCCACCACCCCATTCAACGTACTCAACAACTCCTCCACCCGATCCTTCGCCAACCCCGCAAGAATCGTAACCTTATTCCCCTTCCTCTCCCCACCCTTCGTCACCCTCCCCCGCTCTCTCCGTTCAATATCCTCATAAATCGTCTTCAACTCCCTCTCCCTAACCCCCAAACCCCTAATCTTCGCTTCCTTCTCCCCAATCTCCCTAACCACCTCCTCCTTCCTCGTCTTAGCCAACTGCACCATCTCCCCCTTCCTCCTCATCGCCTCCCTCATCCTCTTCCCCCTCTCCTCATCCGCCTTCCTCCACTCCTTCCCAATCTCCACACACCTATCCTTACACTTCACACCCCCCACCCCCGCCCACTCATCCGAGCCATCACAGCAAGCTTCATAATCACAGACCCCATCATTGACATACATATGCGGTACATAACCAGGAATATGTCCTTTATTCTTGCAATAGAAACCCGGGAGGGCGAGGGTCTGATTCTCTTTGCGTGAGAGGGCGCCGGGTTGGGGTGGGGAGAGCGTGGAGAGATAGGTACAGGCTGCGGTGCCGGGCTCGTCGCTTCCATCTGGACAGTCGCAGAATTCGTCGTTGATTTGCGTGAGGAGGAGAACGATTGAGGGGTGGGAGATGCAGGTGAATGTTTCGGGGGACTTGTAGTATTTCGAGACTGTTATTTATATTAGCACTGTGCTGTATCCAAAACCCCCTCCCCTCTAAACCCCCTCCCCCCCCCAATCCTC